ACAAACATCTGTGTCTGTTAGCGTGTTTGAAGAGTCTGAGTAAGTTATCCTCCCTGCTGAGATTGGTTCCCCTAAATGCTGCACTGCGGGGGGATAGTTTCTGACTAGCTCTAGGGAGTCTTTGTAGAATCCAGATTCTCTAATTTTTCCTACAAAATATGAAAAAAATAATCATGAGGACTAGAGATTCATCAATATCTCATCATAGGGCATATAATATGATTACTATATACAGGAAAATTATTGAAATTTTGTTTTTAAGTTTTGTGTGAGTTATTGTTGTGAAAATCACACAGACATGTCACATAAGTACTACATACTGTATGTGTACATGTACTTTAAAAAGTGGGCTTCATATTTTAGTGGCTTTGGCACAGTTGACAATGTGCTACTTTATGAATATTTATGTATACAATACAACTGAATGGACATGAGTAGCACTAGTTCATGGTTATGCAAACAACTCCATACCCAGTGATTACACTAAATTTTGAATATGCCAAATTCTGTACACGTACAGTTTTTTTCATGCAGGGCATTAAATTTAAAAATACATTATATTTTAAATGAATAATAGCACCAAAAATAATACTCAATGTCTGAAGTATCTGCTGCCAACAATATATTGTTACGTATATTTTATGAACATCTCAATTCTCTATTGAGAAGTTGATGGTTCTTGAAGGGGAGTATTACTAATGAAATGCGCCATCAACTTCTTAACAGAGAATAGAACATCATTGTAGCCTCTGGTTGTGACATATAACATGCAAATGCATTTTCTATATGCTTGCATGAGTATACACGAAAATGGCATTCAAATCAATTTCACAGTTGGTTTAGTAGAAAACACTAACAAGGGTGCTTAAGAAACAGTTTTCCATGAATGGTAGTTTTTCCTCTACCAATTGTTGCCCACAATCATATTTAATTACTGTATATTTTGGCAGGTGGTGGTGTGCCTATGATAAGCTGATGATGATTACATGTATATGATGAAAATTGATTCAAAAGGTGAAAATGATAGCAATTCTTCTTTATACAGGACAAGTGGGCGGACACCTATAGTCACCTGAAACCTAATGCAAGTGTCGTATCCATCAGGTCTTTCGGCCATGACATTATTGTATAGCAAATTCGAGCTAATTTCCAAGGAAATTCGAACGAAGTCATGAAAGTTACACATATATTAATTTTCTTACTATGATGTTTAAATCCCATATAACTATTCAGTCCTAAAAGTGCAGCAACACCTGCCACACTGATTCTTAACAGATGTTGATTCATTTCGTTCAATATACTCATTTTGACTTTCGATCATCGATGGAACAACACAAGTGCAGTACGACTTATCTAAAACGGATAACGACGAAAATGACGTCATCGAATTTAAATTTCTCGTATGATTTCGGTAGTTTACGGAAATAAAATTCTAGCTTTTATGAAACTAAAAGTAATCTTCCAATTAATTTTTGCAATTACAATAATAGTGGTTTATTTTGGAGTAATTTTTAACTTTTTACCTATAACTTAAAAGAGATTATTGATTATTGCTTAGCAACGCAACGCATATGTCCGCCATTTTCTTATGCTCAGTGGAAGTTCCGATGACCCATCGATACCAAACAAATGAAGGACACATGCGACTAATTAATTAAATGTCATTGGTTTATGGTCACGGTAATTGAAATATGGCAGACTTTGATGTAAGTACATTTTAATTTGGCTACATATCTTAATAAACTAATTTTGAAATGCATAAAGATTACATATGCAATAACTGAGTAAGCAAGTTTCTGTTGTCAAAATATACCATTGCACTTGGTCGCATTCGCATTTCAGTCAGATGTACTTGTCCTTTCCACACGTCTTTAACAAAAATCTCATAAAAAAATTACAATTTACAATAATTATATCAATTATCTTGCAATAATTATAATTATAAATTATTCAAATATTTGTTTTTGAATTTGTTACAAAATATTTCATTGATTATCTAACTCCTTGGTGTCACCTGTGCAAAAAGTTTATACTGGAATGAAAGATTTCTCTTCTATGCATTGCAACCCTCATAAATTAAGTCTTGATTTCTAATTGATCTACTTAATTGATATAGAGTAATTATACAAATTTTAAGATTTATTGATTTAAAAATGTGTCAATTGATTATTGGGGGGTATAGAGGTAATGTTATCATCTCTTTGTCTCCACTTATATAAATGTTAGCTTTCTCCAGAACTTGAGAGGATCTTGGGTTTTTTGCCGTAGTTTATGTCAATAAAGTTTTTATATTTTATCAGGGACCTACATACTAACGGGATAGGCAACTCCTTCATCGCCATGTTTATTTACCCAAAACATCACGCACAACACTACTAAGTTTTTCAAACTACGTTTATTCCCAGTAAACAGGGTGTTTTCTGAGAAATATCATTTATTCCTTTTATGTAAAGGAATTGATTTATTGATAAATTTTAAAGCATAATAATAATATCATTTAAGTATAAAGAAAACAAACACCGAAATCGGTGATTTCTCGGAAATATGGCCGATCGGGGCATGTGCTGATTTTGCATAAAACAAAATTACTACTGAGATAAGGAGTATAATACGTGCTAAAAACAAATCTTGAATGATTTTTTGACAGATAATTCAAGGATTTTATCTCAAATATGCGATAGCTTTAGAGATATAATTAATTAAAGTTGGCTTACGAAATCCCGCGACTTACGAGATATAGCGAGACTTGCGGTGGTTGCCTATCCCGTTAGTATATATGTCCCTGATTTTATGTACATATACATGAGAATTTTTTTTTTCAATACAGCTTACTCCACGTAGAGCAAATGGAAGAAGTAAAGGGAAGGGTACTGATGACCCCATCAGATTCCTCCCTGTTTTACCTTCAAAAAGAACTAAGCCAGCATGGCATCAAGTTCAGCCAAATTTTGAACTATCAGGAAAAATTCTCGGAGAGGATAAAAATGGAATAGATCTTGTTGGAGAACTCACTGCAAGTAAGTTCATTGTTTACTGACTGTCACAAGTGAATATCATATTTTATTTTTGCATTTCATGGCGTAAAGGTTTGCATTTCTCTCATTCATCAGATGGGAAAATGAAGTGTTGTCCCTTAATTTGTTACATATCAAAATTCTTTGGCAACTAACTTGGAATTACATACTGTCTATTTTTAATGCAAAATATGTAGAATTAAGGGAAAAAATCCTTTTGGATAGGGAGATGTCTTTTTCGACCCCAACCAGCTATTTATTTATATAAAAAAATGTACACAAATCACAGAAGAATGCACACATTTATATTTCCTGAAATTAGTTGTCAGGAGAATTTACATTTTTATTTAAATTTACATCATGTTCATCATAATTCTTTTTTTATTGCATTATCTTGATTATCAAAATCATTTTTTTAAAACAGGAGAACCAAAACGTAGAAAGCCCAATCAGTTAAAACCAATTGAGAAACAGAATGGCACAGATGCAGACATTACCCAGTTTCAGCAACCAAAGAAAGACCGAGAAAATTTTAGAAAGGCTTTGGTTGACATCATCATGTAAGTTTGTCAAAGACTCATATGTCAACTAGAGGAATAATCACAAGATAGGTCGATCCTATTAATCAAGAACAATTACTTATTTAAAAAAAATTTAAATGAGAGATATTGTTATCATTTATGAATACCTCACTTTGAAGTTTATTACTAATTAGATGTTGTTTTTAGGCAAGAGGATGGGATTCAGCCACACAGTGCACCAGGTTCCGTTAATAATGGAGAGTTACCTCCCTTGTCCAGAACAGGGTCACCCACAGCGGCTGATAAAGATATTCTCGTATGTCACATTATTTCTTCTATTTCTGTTCATTTGTGAAGAGCTAGGTTGATACTGTCTAGTAAGTCTTAGTCGTAAATTTTAAACTGCTTTATTTTTGTTGGAAAAAACATCCAGTGAATTTACATGTATTCGTTCATAAAGTGTTCCTCTAAATTGAATAAATGTCTTAAAAGTTTAGAAAATTTCATGATATTGTATTCTTTTGAAAGCATTTTGATACCAAATGTTCATTGCAGAGATACTACTACTACATTCACAATGGAATTGACACAGAGCATGTTGCTCCTATGGAGGACTCTTGGCTTGAAAATGTCCTCGGTCTTGTTTCAGAGGATTTAAAGGTTTGTTTGAGAAAATACCTCATTAATTCTCAGTAAAATAACTGTTGGAAATTATCTAAAACCCCACACCCCTAAAAAATTGATTTCCATCTCGGGTACTCACTTACATCACTTTTATTCTTGAGAACCTAATTTTTGCATAATTTTGCGAGGCTCTTTGCTCGCAAAAATATTTTCACATATATCAGTATTCCTAAATATTATACAGAGTAATAACCACAATTTGTAAATTTTGTCCATCATATAAAGAGTAAATGTCTATCTCACAAAAATAAAGTGTCATGAAAACTTGGTAATCTACTCTATAAACAGTAATTTATTAAGATTTTAAATCAAACATCTTTGTTTTCCAGAGAGGGCACTCTGATACCATTGAAAACTTGTCAGACGAGATGAGAGAGGACTACCTTTTAAGTGTAAAGAAAGCAATTGGTAGGAATGAGATTTTCTCCTTTATTTGAGCATACCAATTAGTTTGAACTGTAATATTACTGTATCTACCAAGTAATTCAATGTTGTCAGATTATTGTCCATTGTCTCTGGTCAGACCTCCATGTCTGATACATCAACAAAATAAATGATAATTAATAAACTTGAAAAAAAAAGGAAAGAAGATCATGACTTCTTCATTTTTATAATTTTTTGTTAACTTGACCCATTTTCTTTGTTCCAGTTGATTTTGTCCTCAAGGATCAGAGAGAAAAAGAAAAAGATGTGGAGGAAAAACGCCCTCCCCACAGGGAAGAAATGGATGTGGTGCCCAAACCGTGGCACAAGGACTATGTGGCTGGCCTGGAAGCCATGTCCCAGAAACTTCACATCACCACCCCATGCATGTTACAGGTGTTAGATTTCTGGCATACCAAGTTTGGGTATGTTTTCTAGAAGATTTTTTTAAAACCTTTTTTTTGATTTTTTTTGTTTGTTTTTGTACCTATGCTCCACCTGGCTGTAACATGACTATGCTATCTATCACCACAAAAATCCATTTTTTTTCTTAATTTAGTTCTTTAAAATGTTTATTTTTTAAATCAGAAAAAGATGCTCCCATTCTCATTATAATAAGTAATGATTCAGAAACTATAGAGTTTTTTCTAAGTAAAAATTGTTTATTGTTTTTAATATCTACTCGTAGAAGTAAATATGAATTTACAATGCACATGTAAAACTACACATGGGGTGTTTTACAACATACAAATGTCATGTCAACTTACATAAACTTAAAAGGACTTTGTTGTTTTCTTTCAGGGGGTTGCGTTTTATTGACATCAATGAATTTCATAACAGAGTAGATTCCATGGAATTGGGAACCTTCCAAAATCTCTGCATGCGGCATATTGAGAATGCCAAGGACCAATTAATGAAAAAGTGAGTCATTAATTAAGCAGTTTGAAAATGATATAAAATCGGAAAAACCACAGTTTAAAGCTTCTTACGCATTTTAGAATTAACTTAAAATAATCAGGCTATAAGGAGGTCTGCATTCATGCCTACAACAGCAAAATAATTTTAAATAACTAACAATGTTTGTTATATGGAAATTCCAACTGAGTCAGAAACTGTTTAATAAGCTTCATTTGCTTTTGCATTTGAGGAAATTTTAACTTATAAATGACCTAGAATCAAGATATATAAGGATCAAGGTCTGATTACGACAGCAAAAATATTTGAATAGCAATATTCGTAATTCGGAAATTCCAAATGAGTGTAAGTTGTTCCAAATATGTAACAGATTAAACAGTTAAAATTGGATGGCTACATCAATTGTGAAAAAAAAATTGTTGTACCTTTTCTTAATTATAAATGAGCATATATTTTACAACAATTAACAAATAAGATTAGACAGAGAGACAAAACGAATAATGTTTACATAATTTCTAATCAGTTCCAAAACTTCTTGATCATGGACATGACTCATACCATTGAATGCAAATTTAAAGAACCTGGAATTGGAGCTGATCCAAATAGACTCTTTTGGCCCATCACAGGTTCAAATTGTTGTATTACACATTTGTAAAATCCCAAACCCTAACCCCATGTTTAAATTGTTAGAAAAGAAGGTCAATGTGTGTGTTTTTTTTTTTTTGAAACAAAGTCATTGCCATCTACATCTTGATAAACTTAAAATGTACGTACGTGGTAAAGAGTTTGCCAAATTTGATTTATAACCATTTGTTTTGATGAAGTCTATTTAGTTCAAACAACATGTCCTTAATCTGGAAGGTGTCTGTTAATTTCAGATTAAAATAATGATACTTAATAATGTCTTGCATTTATTCCATAATCTTGATGCAGGTTGATTGATTTTTAAAAAAGAAAACATCCACCAATCCAAGCTTTATCACTGGTTTATAACTATCATTTACATACACAGTTGAACTGCAATCTCAAACAACAGGAATAGGGCACATTAAACTGGAGTTATGTCAGTGGTTACTTACCCACATTAAATTTTTAAAATATCATGTACTTTGGTTTCTGGAGCCCTTGGATATGTCAAAGTTCATTTAAAGTCCCATTAAAGTTAAGATATTAATATTAGTCATGACAGTTCCACATACATGTATAATTAATTTCTGATCATAATTTTTAGCTCACCTGAGTCAAACTTTTCTAGTCAAAGAAGTGCATGTTCCAGTGTCTGTCTGTCATTTTTAAACTTTTTTGTTTTTTAGCCTAGCATTTAAGATATTGGTTATTGGAGTATCAGCTAAAAAGCCAATGAAAATAAATAGCACTCAGAAAAAATAAGAAATCATGCATATATTCTATAATTCAACATTGTAGATGGTTCCCAGAAGTCCAGGTGATGTTTTATGAAGGAAACAAAAGAAAACAGGTGCCTAGTAATCAGGATCCAGAGAAACTAGAGTCCTTCTTTAACTGCGCGGCTACGCTGATGACAGACAATCTTCAGCAGCTAACCCTGAATTCACTGGACGATTACACAGATCTCTTGTGCCAACCTCCTGTAAGGCCCTTAATTCTTACATGGAAGTTATTGAGTGGAGGAATTTTTTGGGGGGGGGGGCTATAAACATTAACATGTAGCATTTTTAAGGGAATTGAGCTTGGGTTTGGGGGTATTATTGAAGCTGACATTTTAAATCAAAGGAATACATGTAACTGTTTTATTACCTTACTCTTTTTATAAGAAGGCAATGCTTACATCTTTCCTTTTGTAAAGGTTAGATGATTAATGATCTCAACTCCATTGAGTCTATGATGATAATGCACTTCTTTTTTGTCCATTATGACTTCAATTTTCCTTTTTTTAACTCTAGACATCTACTCGTGCTTATGAGCACCCAGGATTTGTACTGCGTCTCATTTTGGATGGAACCTCCATTAAATTTGAGCCAACCTTCAAGGAGTTTGAGGTCATCATCTTGAATGTGTATGATGTCATGATTAAAGCCTCCCAGCAAGTTCCCAGAGTGGAAACAAAACTGTATCTGGACTGGGTAAGACAACAAAGACTACCATGTAAAAATGGTTTTGTGAAAAAAAAATTTTCCTCTATTTTCAAAAATTTTTCAAAAAATCTTGACTACCAAGATTTGAGGACATTTAGATGGTTGAAGCAATTCATATTGATGTAAAATAAAAATCTTCCGAGAGTTTGTAAAATTTCAGCAATTTTTTCTTTACAATCTCTTTTTCTGTAGAGTGGAAACAAAGCCAAGTCCAACTTGCAGCCAGTTGTGCTGAAAGAAATTCTAGAGGCTCACAAACAGAAAGTGAAGGAACTGATAAAGAAAGAAAGCGTTGGGCCAGTGGAGCACTGTAAAATCTATGATAAATACAACTTCCTCATCTCAAAACAGGTACGCAAATTATGTCGATTCTGTAGAATATATAATTACTTGTAACATAATAGCTGCAATAAAGTACACCTCTCCGATTTTATTTAATCTGATATTTTTTGGAGAGGCCCTACCTCCCCCCCCCCCCCCCCCCCCAAAAAAAAAAAAAAAAAAAAAGGAGAGGTCTACACTTTTGGAGCTAGTTACATGAGAAATAAACCAGAAATATATAAAATGTATTTTAAAGATGAATATATATATTTTCTGCAATCATATTAATGCTCATTGCACATAAAGCCATTACCAACTTTTTTGAACCACCACTGCATAATTTATAATGTATCTTGGTTGAATTTTGATTGTAGGCCGATGCTGATGTTGACGTATTCCTGGGAGAGACCCACTCTTTTGATGAATACGCAAAGGAGATCACCAAGTACAAGAAACTGGTGGACGAAGTCACCTACAACTTAGACAAGGTAAACAACATACAGTAACCTCCATTATTCTTGTATAAGGGAGATAACTGACAATGCACTTTTCTTGACACATGATTATAAATTTTATTGAAATATTCATATCTAAATTTATTTTTAAAAAAATTATTTTTATTTCTATTGAATTAGGAGGAAAATAATGATTTTTATTTTTTGGTTGTTTATTTGTGTTGATGTTACTGAAATTTCTAATAACACAACGTTAATCATTTTTACAGCGAGGAACATCGGTTTGTTAACTCGATGATTCTTTTTCTTAGAATATAGTCGTATTAATTGTCTAGATTTTTAAAAATTCTACATTCATAATTCATTTAATTTTCATCCATTAAGACTTTCTTGCCTTCAATTTTCTCTGATAAAATTATGTATCTCTAGTTTCAAATTTTTTTATCAAACTTGCTAAAAATTAAAGCATAATTGAATTCTTTTGTCCAGTGCTAATATGAATAAATTGAATTATTAGAATATCCACACATTATGGCTATGAGAATTTATTAAAGGCTAAAAGAATACCATGTGTCCTTTGGATATCAAAGAAATTGTTATAATATGAAATCAAAAATTGTAAAACTATCTTTTATGGCTGTCTCCAACCAGTTATCAAGTTAATATTTACCAGAATTGTTATTGAGTCATATAGATAATTTTGTGTCCAAGATGCTGGGATTTTATCAAGAAAGTATGAAGGCAAACTAAAACGGATTTTGGCTATTCCTTCCTGTATATAACATGTAAAAAATTTCAAAATAAAAAAACAAAAACAAAAAAGCATATTTTAAGACAATTTTATTTTGCCAAAAGTATTGGATTTTTTTTTTAATTAAGATAAAATTAATAAGTGTCCTTATGATATTTGAAGAATATAGTCAATAATAAAAAGATCAAATAATAATGTGCTAGAATTTTTACAGTAGTGTCATCTATAATACTATCATTCAGAAGCTTGATATAATATTCATTACAAATATTGTTAATTAGAAATTGTAGATAAATATTGTACGTAATTTATAATTATTTATAAGAAAATCTTTGATGTACATTTTTTGTAGATATTTATATACTGTTGACTGTAGGAGCACAGTTTATGCTTACTTGCTATGTTAGAGCTGCAAAAATGTATTTGGATATAAACAGAACTTTTTAATTATATTATAAGAATTTTTTTGCACAAAATACATCTTCATATTAGAGATTAGGGCCTACTTCATAATTGATGATATCCAGTGTGTTTTTTAATCCACTTCCTTTACACATTTATTAATATAAATACCCAGTAACCTGTAACATACTGAGTTTTGTTTCAGCTGATGAACCCAATCTTCAATTAATGATATATTAATATTATTTTAATTCTTTTACTTGATTAACTTATCACAGAGAGGAGGGTTTTTTAAGGTATTGATACAAGTATACAACTCTTGAGATAGACACTCTTTCCTAAATTGAACTATACTGTGTATCCAGTGACCAGTTAGGAAGTTTTAAGGGGGGATCTATGTCCGAAAAGTCTTTGTGTGAAATTTTCAAAACTTTGACATTTCTTTCCTGACCACTTGCTCTTAATTTTTAGGCATTAAAAACAATACCTTTATATGCTTATTTTTACGGAGCACGTGCAAAAACAGTGCGAAATGCTAAAAAAGATTATTTTCAGACATTATTGTTCTACCCTAAATATGCGCTTAAAAGAACCAAAAATGTCAATCACATTTAAAATCAACATGTATTTAATTTATATGAATCTTTAAAATGAAGGCAAATATATCTTGCATGAAAATTTATAATGGAGCACAATGTAAGTATCACCGCGTTTTTCTTGTCGTATTTCTTACAATTCCGACATGCATAACAGGTAATATCTTAAAAAGTCTTTGTGTGAAAATGTTGTAATTCATATATTTTGAAAGAAATGATTCATCTCTTTTTTTTAACAAAGAAAAAAGTATACCTTTATGATAAAATAAACGAGAAATATGACGTTTTCTTTTATTCTTGTACACTATGTCATAAATATTGACCTTTCTGCACTTAAGAAAGGTAAGTTAGCAGTGACAAACATCTGAATATAAAACTATTTTTGCGAAAAACGAGTATTTTGTTTTGATTAGAAACAATTAAACGGATTACTTTTCTTCTTCATTCTAATCCCCGTCAGCAACCAACACCTATTAGAACCTAGGAATGACTTTTAAGTTTATACAATAAAATCTACATGTACTATAAATCAAAAAGCAAATATAGGTACAAGCACAATAAGTTTTATCCAGAAAAATAATACAATTAATGGTAAACATAAAATTAAACATATTTCCCTGATTGAAGCCGCTTTCTTCATTGAATTTTATCTTATTTTTTTGCACTCTATTCTATTCTATATATAGTTATCATCGAGGTATTTCTTCACAACTGAAATTGCTATGAATTATTAAATAAGGAAGAGATTCTAATATTCTATAAATCAAATAAAAATGTTATTAATGATGAATAAATTTTCTTTTTGTAAATTGTGTACGTTTGATAATTAACCATTTTTTGTCTATATCACAGTTGCGAAAGTCAACAGGTAAAAACAAACGTCGCTATTGTGACGTCACATAACGCTGCTTTGACGTAGAACGACATAGGTCCCCCCTTAATGAAATATTATAATAAGCAGGCTATCAGAATAACAATATTGTATCAAGTGGAATGTATTCTATTAAATGGGAGATTAGGATATATTTATGCACTAATTATGAATTCTTCTGGATTGCAAAAAAAAAAAAAAATAATAAGTTTGAGAACATTTTTTGGCCAGGAGGAAAGGGGGTTAAGTTGCTGGCTACACAGTTCATAAAATTTCATAGTAAATATCTTTAACTCTCTAATATTTTAATTTAATCTTTCTTGTTTTATTAAATCTCCCAACTCAGGAAATCTATAAGCCGGTACCTTTGACACCTTTGTTTGATGTTTATGATAGAAAGTTTCAGAAATAAGCAATGTGTGCATTAAATACAGCTTTATTTGTTCAAGATATATTTCATAAAATGATAAATATATATATATATATATATATATATATATATATATATATATATAATGTATGACAAGCACATTCATAGTTTTACATGATTGATTAGCTTACTGTTTTGTAAGTACACAGATATTGTAATGTGTTGATCCACAATGTATGCTATAGAAACTTTGGGTAAACTGAACTTTTTCTATGTATATATAATTATATTTATCAGGAAAATAGTTAACTGAATGCAGATCTAATGAAAAAAAAATAAGCATGAGTAAATTAAAGATCTGATATATTTTTCTTATACATCACACTGATGTTTGCATGAAACACTGGCCTTTCTAGATAAATATTTCCTTTTCACACTGACTCCTTTAAAAATGTGTGCAAAATTTAAGTTTGATCATATTATTTTTCATTGAGTTTACAAATGCAGATAGCAGTAAGCTTCCAAAAATAAAGTAATGCAGTCACTTGTCCTAGAGTTAAATTAAGTTTTAAGACAGCTGCACACTAATATCTATTTTAGTCTTTGTTTTGAAAACTGGGTAATGTAAGTGCTGTGGATAAAAAAAATTGAAAAATATTGATACACAATAACTTTTTACATTTACACAATTTTTTTATCAATAAAATTTCTAATAATTGCAATTATGTAACTGTAAAACTTTTTAACCTCTTTTTCTCTTTAAAACACAGGTCATGAGACTTGGGATGTTTGAAGTCCACTGCGATGATCTTATTCGATCATTAGCCAAACGGTCAGAGGCCCTCTGTCAAAAATTACTGGGCAAAATGTCCGAAGATCACAAAGAGGCAAACAAAAAGTAAGTCTGGATATATGTTAAAAAAAAAAAAAAAAAAATCAAATTTACAACAAAAAAAGAGCCAAGGTGCATGTGTCAATAAATATAAATTCCTAAATTTTCACTTCATTCCTTGCTTCACCTGAAAAGATATCTGAATAGAATTTTTAACTGTCTTTACCTTATTATGATTTGAAAATCAAGTTTTTTAATTTATATTCCTCCATGCTCATAGCTAGCTAGACAATAGAAATAAACAATTGTTGCAATATAGCTGTAATTAAACTCTCTCTCTCTCCTCTGGAAAATAAAGCCAACAGAGTCAAAGGGAAATAACTCTTAATTTTTCCTTTCTTCAGGTTGTGTGATGATTATGAACAAATAGCAGAAAAAGCCTTGACCACTCCTAGCAACACTGAACATCTGATGGAGCTGAAAGCATACATTGAAAAGGTGGAATCAGACATTATTTTCACCATGGAGAAAAGACTCATGGAGTCAAAGGACAGGTTGACTTTCCTGTCCGATTTTGCCCAGTTTTCTCCAGCAGAAATGAGACTGAATGCAAGTGTTTTCAAATGGCACGGAAGAATGCCCACAATATTCGAGGAACACAAAATGATTGTAGCGGACAGGAGGACACAATATGAAGAGGCTCTGAAGGTATACAAAATGTTGCTTCATTAAACAATACATGGGGGGTTGGGGGGTTGGCTGTTGATGGCTGATTAAAATTTATTGTGAGAAGTAAATTTTACATTATAAAATGTCGGTATGGTATTTTACAAGAAATAAATGGCATATCAAATAAAAAAAAATATGATGTTAAATGAAAGTCACAGAATTTAGAGATGCAGGCATGAGATGATGCATATTGCAAATGTATTCAACTATCTCAGGAAGCATTCCCCCCCAAAATAAGGGAAGAGTCTATGCTTTATTTAACCCCCACCATCTTAAACAAGCTGTGTTATTCAGAATTTTAAAACAATTTTATGATTTTTATAACTTGACATTTTTTAAAAAAATTTTGTATAGGTGAGGAGAGAGAGATTCATTGAAGAGTTGGAGAGCTACCAGAAACAAGTGGATGAATTCGCCACATACGGTGATATGAATGACATCCAGAAATATCTCAAGAAATCACAGAATCTGGAAAACAAACTCAATGCTGCCGCAGAGAAGGTCAGGGGTCAATTTTTAATTTTACTTCAAAACTTATATGCATCTTGAGAATACACAAATTAAAACAAAGATTTTATAATAATTAAAATGAATTACTTGCGAAAATTATCCTGGTGGAACAAACCTTTACTTTTAGACGCACGTCTTACAGTAAACTATGTTGAAACCTTATTTTTGAAGATTTTTCTTTAGAATTTTATTTTATTTGATTTGATTTTAGATTGAGGCCTTCAACAATGAAGAGGAGGCCTTTGGCTGGCAGACGACAGCTTATCCACAGAGACAGACCATACAGAACACACTGAAACCATACCTCAGTCTCTACGAACTCACTGTGGAATTCAACAACAAATACAAGTAGGATCTTATTTAAAAAAAAAAAAAATTGATTGAATTTCCTTTATGAAGTCCCTGTATTGAAATTTCTAAAGTGATAAACTTTTAAGAATTTGGTCAATATTCATTATTTGATGGGGAAAAAAACCCTTTATATCTATGTGAAGTTTAACTTGTATAACACAGACAGCAATTTGATGGATTAGAAAATATGTGAAACAACTAGTAGAAAGGAAAACTAAATGTTTTCATCTTTTTATGCACAATTTTTGAATGTACACAATTTAAACGTTCAGAGTAGTCAAGTTTGACAATAGTTTGTAACATAAGAAATCTTAGATAATTGTGTGTTAATGCTGTAATTATATGTGAAATGAATAATTAAAGAAACCCTATTTGGTATTGATTGATTTTGTAATTCGTTAACAGTGACTGGATGCATGGTCCCATGGGAGGCGTCAATCCAGACGAAGTAGAAAATGAAGTTGGAAATTTCTGGAGAAATCTGTACAAGCTAGAAAAGCAGTTTGACTCGGTACCAGCTGCCAAGAAGATTGCCTCCAAGGTAAATTAAAAATATTAATTTTGCTTCTTTATTCTTCAGATAAGTCTAAACCTACTACAATTTCACGGGTTACTTTTTATATAATAAAAAAAGAATGATTAAAAGAAAGAAAGTTTCTAAAAAATGAAATAGGGAATAAAGTAACAAAATTGGTTACTGAAATTTGTTACAAGCTTCAATCCAATTGAAGTATATAATTCATTAAAAAAATAAATAATTTTTCATTTAATTAGGTTAAAGCAAAAGTGGAGGAGTTCAGAGAATACATGCCCCTGGTACAGACCTTGTTCAACCCCGGTCTCAGGGACCGCCATTGGGAACAGATCTCTGAGGTGGTCAAATATCCCCTCAAACCAGACGACACCTACACTCTGGACAAGATGCTGGAGTTTGACCTCATGAAGTACGTTCCTCAGTTTGAGAGCATCAGTGAAGCCGCCAGCAAAGAGTACTCACTGGAGAAGGCCATGGAAAAGATGAAGACAGAATGGGCTCCTGTAAGTTTATTTAAGGTTCTTTAACCCTGTGAAAAGAGAGATAACTCTCCATGGAATAAATAAGATTATTGTCAAGTTAAAAGGTAATCTCTTTCAAATTCTTGTAAAATCTTGCGCCATAAGGTATGCTGAAAAATCATTGCATTTTGATTTAAATATGAAAATCATAAGCCTTGAAGCAAAATTATATATCAGTAAGCAAAGGGATGGTGATCCTGAATTTAGTCTGTCCCTTATTTGGGGAAAAAGAATTTTAATTTGCTCTATATTCAGCTATTCTAGTATGGTATTAAATCATCTGGTCACACTCATATTTATTTGTATGACACTTGTAGATTGAGTTTGTCATGATCCCGTACAGAGACACCGGCACCAGTATCCTGTCTTCCGTGGATGATATCCAGTTGCTTCTGGATGATCACATCGTCAAGACTCAGACCATGAGAGGATCTCCATTCATCAAGCCATTCGAGGAAGAAATCAAGTGAGTACTAATGAATAAAAAAAATTGTACAGTGATTGCTGATATAAGCTGACTCAAACCAAAGACACGGTCAATTATTTTCTAACCAAAGAGTCTGTATTGTTTGTATGTATATTGTCTGTTGTCATCTGAAAAGTTTTACATGTCCTCCTTGCACCTGAACCAATTTTAGCTTATCTTAGCTTGATGCATGTCTGAGAAATAAGAATTGAAATTATTCAATTGAATAAAATCACTCAATTACTCAGGGAGATAATAAAGAAATGGAAAATCCTGGGTGAAATTCACAATCCTCATATGAACCACTGGCAAATGCATTTAAATCCTAAAATCCTTATTACAGAGAATGGGAATCCAAGCTAATGCTTCTCCAGGACATTCTGGATGAATGGTTGAAAGTCCAGGCCACCTGGCTATACCTGGAGCCCATCTTCAGCTCCCCCGACATCATGGCTCAGATGCCAGAGGAGGGGCGCAGGTTCACCACAGTGGACAAAAACTGGAAGGATATCATGAAGCAGGCTCTACAAGACAAGAAAGTCCTCAGTGTCATCGCTATTGATAAGATGCTGGAAAAACTCAAGAAATCCAATGAGCTTTTGGAGCTCATCCAGAAGGTATACAGATGGTTTAACTTATGAAAAAAAGTCAATAATCTTGCAAAGAATTTTCCAAATATTTTCCCTCATTCAAGTGAAATTATGGCGGTTTTAAGAATTATGGCTGCAAATTTTTGTAATAGAGTGAATGTATTTGTAAAAGAAGTTGTTGTTGAAAACTGGAAATCAATTTTCTCTAGGGTTTAAATGACTACTTGGAGAAGAAGAGATTGTACTTCCCAAGGTTCTTCTTCTTGTCTAATGATGAATTGTTGGAAATCTTGTCTGAGACTAAAGACCCCAAGAGGTAAAGATAAAGTGTTCAAAATTATTTTTATTATTCATTGAAGCTTATGAAATTTTGCTGAGAATAAACAGTGTGCTTACATGTTCATGCATCTGTGAAAAGGAGAAAATATTTTCTTTTTCCATTGTTTGCAACAACAGTTGTCTCATGAACTAGTCAAATAATGAATTTTCTGCCTTTTTGCAGAGTACAGCCTCACTTGAAAAAATGCTTTGAAGGCATAGCCAAGCTGGAATTCACAGACACACTTGACATCACTCACATGAAGAGCAGTGAAGGGGAGGTCGTAGAACTGAGAGATGTCATTTCTACCTCAAAAGCCAGAGGGCAGGTAGAAAAATGGCTGCTGGAATTGGAAAGCGACATGCTTTCATCCCTGTGCAAAGTCATTGGAGAGTCCCTGGAAGCATACATGAAAGAGGAAAGAAGGGAATGGGTCAAGAAATGGCCAGGACAAGCCGTACTGTGTGTGACCGCCAAGTACTGGACTGATTTTATTGAGGATGCTTTCAGGAAAGGAGGCACTGCCCTGAAAGATTATTTGGATCTGAACAATAAGCAGATTGATGAGATTGTAGCTATGGTCCGTGGAACACTGTCTAAACAGAACCGTGTGACCCTGCAGGCTCTGATTGTGTTGGACGTCCATGCCAGGGATGTGTTGGCAAAACTGGTAGAAAATGAAATTCAGTCAGATCTGGACTTCCAGTGGCTGAGTCAACTCCGATACTACTGGGAGGTAAGAAATTAAAATTACAAATCATTTTGAATATTCAAAACTACTGTAATCTATGGGAGGAGGTCTAATTTATATTTCCTTTGACCTTTGAACTTGAATCCTATTGACATGTTTGTTTTGAACTTTGAACTTAAATTTTGAAGGATTCCAAAATGGTGACTCGTATGATCAACTCCATGTTGAAATATGGATATGAATACCTTGGAAACACAGGACGTCTTGTCATTACTCCACTGACAGACAGATGTTACAGGTAGTTTATCCATAAAAACCAAATAATCTCTTTCTTATTAATTCATTCTAAAAATACACAAGTAAATGTAATGTAGTTTCCTCGCAATATCAGCAGAGGTAAGACTATTTATACTTAAGAAATAAGATACCATTTTTAGAGTTTCGTTGGGGTATGACATGAAGTCGGTCACGTGATCAAATTCTATAATGCCTGAAGGATGTTAAAATCATATGAACCTTCTTTCAGAACTCTATTTGGGGCTTTACATTTACACTTGGGTGGTGCACCAGAGGGCCCTGCTGGTACAGGAAAAACAGAAACCACCAAGGATCTGGCCAAAGCTGTGGCCAAACAGTGTGTGGTGTTCAACTGCTCCGATGGTTTGGATTACCTTGCTTTGGGAAAATTCTTCAAGGTAAGATTAGGAGAAATGGCTGTGGATGGGGGAGGGGTGGAAGGGTGTGTTTTTGATTATGTTTCTTATTATTTTTCTGTCTCTTACCTAGGGTTTGGCCTCCTGTGGAGCCTGGTCTTGTTTTGATGAGTTTAACAGAATTGATCTGGAAGTGTTGTCTGTGGTAGCTCAGCAGATTCTGACTATTCAAAGAGGTAAAAAAAATAATTCATACATCAAAAAGTTTTGGAGCTTTGAACTCAGGGTTTATTTAAAAAAAAATGCCCTCTTTAATCACACATACCAGTAAATGAAAACAAAATTTCAATGATTTTCTTAATTATTTGCTTGAATTTAGCTTCAGAATTGAGAACTTTATTTTTGTAGGCAATTCAGCAAAACTTAGATTAATGGTATAATGTTTTATTTTTTCCATGATAGGTATTAACTCTGGTGCGGACACACTGCTGTTTGAAGGAACAGAAATCAGACTGGACCCCACTTGCTCCGTGTTTATCACAATGAACCCAGGTTATGCTGGGCGTTCAGAATTGCCAGACAACCTCAAGGTAGAAACCAAAGAAAAACAATGCCTATTTTACCTTAGTGCTCGCATATCTTTCATATCAAATATCTAGACTTTTTGAATACCCAGTATATTTCTATGTGAGTTGACCTTCCTGATTACTATTACATGTACATCAATGTCAACTTTGATATTCCCAACATTTTGATTTAAAAAAAAAATCTGACAGTCTCTTTATGTTTGAGATTATGAAATTCGATCTGCATTTTTATCTACAATATTTTTTATCTATGCAGTATTTTGAATCAGAGTCATGATTGGTATATAGATACATAAAAATTTATGAACCCTCAAAAATATTTTAAATTTGGCATAGAAAATGTAGAAATCTGATCCATACAAAATCTACTCATAATATTTTAACAAGAAACATTCAACTCAGGGAGTCACGTTCTAAAAACTGCTATTTGATTTTCTAGGCCCTGTTCAGAACTGTGGCTATGATGGTACCGGATTACGCCCTCATTGCTGAGATTTCCCTCTACTCCTGCGGTTTTGTACAAGCCCGTCCACTGTCCGTCAAGATCGTGGCTGTCTACAGACTGTGTTCCGAGCAGCTGTCTTCTCAGCACCATTACGATTACGGAATGAGAGCCGTCAAATCTGTGCTGACTGCTGCAGGAAATCTCAAGGTAAGGGAAACAACTCTAAAGAGAAGAATATAAAGACATAGATATATGGAATACTCTACATATGGAATATACTATTTGTTATAGCCAAAGGCATCAGAATTTGCTATTTGATGTCATTTTGGTTACTAAAGGAGGCCATAGATAAATTGGTCCTGTCATTTATTTATTCATGAAAAATAAATAATGAAAAACCAAAGAATGGGAAAAAAAATACGTGTAGTTATGTCATTGAAATATCAGAACCATTGATTAGCATATGCTATGAACAACCCCCCTCCCCCACACAAGTTGTAAATTTAGTTCTTGTTTTTAATCTGAAATCTTTTGTTGACAGCTAAAATACCCCGAAGAAGACGAGAACATTCTGATGTTGCGTTCCATTATTGACGTCAATTTGCCCAAGTTCTTGAATCATGACTTACCGCTGTTCCACGGCATCACATCTGATCTGTTCCCCGGAGTTAAGCTCCCTGAACCTGACTACAAGATCCTGAATGAAAATGTCATAGAGAACTGTAAGAAGATGAACCTTCAATGTACAAATTTCTTCTTGGAGAAGATTCAACAGGTAAATTTTTTTGGCCTCTCAGGCAGCACTGCTCGCATATTATGTATCCTCCCTTTGTAGAAACACTTTTTTTGTCAGTTGTGTAGTTAAAATGTAATCTGGCTTTTTAAAATTTATAACTAGTCCCAAAATGTGTTTTGAATTACCCTGCTAAAAAAATTGCCATTTTTTTATCATTGTGGAATAAAGGATGATTGATAAATCTTGACTTTTTCAGATCTATGAAATGATGATTGTGAGACACGGTTTTATGATAGTTGGAGAACCATATGGTGGTAAAACTAGCGCCTATAAAGTTCTAGCAGCTGCTCTTGGAGATATACATGAGAAGGTATGAAACAACCTTAAAAAATTTTACTTTTACTTATCATCCAATTCATATAAGTATTTCCAAAACCTATATATCCATAATTTATTGCTCTGTTCAAGTCATAGAGGCACAGATATTGCATTCCATCCCATAAAATGTGTCTATGCTGTTTACAGTAATCCATGTTATTTCATTGAGTCAGTCAATTCTATGTAAATTCAGTGGTTTTTCAACATATTTTGTTGAGGTTTGTGTGTTTATTTGTCTGTAGGGATTAATGGAAGAAAACAAAGTCCAGATTACAGTCATCAACCCCAAGGCCATCACCATGGGTCAGTTGTATGGTCAGTTTGACCCAGTTTCCCATGAGTGGTCAGATGGTGTCCTCGCTGTCTCCTACAGAGCTTTTGCCACCTCAACTGTAAGTTTTTACTTTTTTTCATACAATTTTTAAATTTTGAAAAAAATGAAAATCTCTTGTCAGTTTTCTCTTGGTATCAAATCTTTAATGTAAGGTTGTCCCTAAGAGTAAAGTAGCAGGGTATATTAAAAAAAGTGTAAAAGGTGATCTTGAGTTTTTCCATTAACAGGGAAATAAGGGGGTGGGGGGTGGGGTGGGGTGCTAGAGTAACTGGAAGATAACATCATTATAGACCTGAAAATCCTTGGCCCCTGGGTCTAAGGGACAATGCTGTTTATGTTAACATTTCTTTGTGATTTTTTCCCCCAGACTCCCGACAGGAAATGGTTGATTTTTGATGGCCCTGTGGATGCTATCTGGATTGAGAACATGAACACTGTCCTGGATGACAACAAGAAACTGTGCCTGATGAGCGGTGAAATCATCCAGCTGGCCAACACAACCAATCTCATGTTTGAACCCATGGATCTGGAAGTTGCCTCCCCTGCCACAGTGAGTTATCTTACTTTTGAGGCACATCTTGAGTTTTTTTTTTCTATAGTACTGTAAAAAAGCTGTAGTATAAAGATTTCTTTTGTGATTTTGTGATTGAAGGAAAAAAAATTTAAAAAGCATTTTTAAAGAAAAAAAATATTGCTTCATTTGGATTCAGAAAGATTGAGTCTGAATGCCATTAGAGACACAAATAGCTTTTCCTAAATTTTCAAAATGTAAATGTCTATATATAATTCAATTGATTTAATCAGAATAGACAAATTAAAAATAACTTTTTTTTTCAAGGTCTCAAGATGTGGTATGATTTACATGGAACCATCCTCTTTGGGTTGGCGGCCTGTGGTCAAATCCTGGCTGAATGACATGCCTGCTGCAGTCACAGAGATGCACAGGTCAACCATCAATGACATGTTTGAACGATTCTGTGACCCCTGCATTAGCCTCATCAGAAAAGGCGGAGTCAAGGCAAGTACATGTCAGCTGACCTGATGAATCATCCAATCATTTTGCTGGAGCTAAGATTAAAAAATAATTATTTTGTAGCAATGAAATGTTAATTTCTTGGTTATAAAGTTGATTCAATTTTTTTACAGGAATTGTCTCCTACTTCTGACACAGCTCTTGTGAAGAGCTTGATGAACCTTATGGATTCTCTCATGGATGAATTCAAGGATGAAGCCAAGATTTCTCAGATGGAAGAGAGAGAAATTATGTCATGGCTAGAGGTCAGTTTCTGGAATATCTTTTTCTTTTTAGAAATGTTTAATTAACAGTTAAAAAACTTAAAGGAAAAAAAAAACATGACAAATGTGGGTTGGGGTGAGGGTGGGATATAAAGACAACAAAAAAAACCAACTCCACAAAAATGACATATAAATTGGGTAAACTGAACAGAATTTTCTTGTATCCAGACTTAACTCTTTTTTCATATTTTATTTCAGTGCATCTTCTTCTTTGCCTGTACCTGGTCCATAGGAGCCTCCATCAATGATGCGGGCAGAGTACACTTTGACAAGCTACTCAGGGAACTTATCTCGGTCAGTGGAAAAAAAAATCCAAGCTGTATTTTAAAAAAAAATATCAATTGAACAGATTAAAATTGAATACTTCAGTTATCTCAAACTAGATATTAAAATTTAATTTTTGGGGGGTTTCCTTGTTAGGGTGGAATGACGGAGGAGACGAGAATCAAGCTGAGTTTGACAGAACTCGTGGAGCCCCCAGAGAAACCTTACCTGAACCCATTCCCTCCCAAAGGTCGTTGCTATGACTACAAATTTGTGAAAGAGGTAAGGGACTGGCAATTTTATGCTAAATTGTCCATATGAATTAAAAAAAGAGATGGATTATAAATTATTTTGTATGCTTTGATATGTTATTGTAAACCAGTTATACCTTTATTTGCGAGTAAGAAATACCCACAAGTTTAATGACCTCTCTACTCCTGAGTATTTTTAATTGCAAACCAATTATTAACATGTTTGAACAATGTTGCCTTAGTCACACACAAAAAAGAATCATGAATAGATTTCAAACTGAAGAATCACTGATAAAAGATGTGGCAATTTATAATTGGTTTACAGGAAATAAAATTTAAAAAAAAAAATGTTTCAGGGAGCTGGAAGATGGGTGCAATGGGCTGAAGAAATCAAAGACTCCCCTCCCATTCCTGCGGAGGCAGAATTCAATGAAATCATTGTACCCACAGTAGACACTGTGAGATACACGGCTCTGATGAACATGCTGGTTCAGCACCAGAAACCAGTCTTGTTTGTGGGACCCACTGGTACCGGAAAGAGCGTCTACATCTGCGTAAGTATATTAATTATTAAACTGATCATTTTTTATTAAAATATTTTAGAGTTTTGTTAAATGAAAGTAAAGATTGTGGTTTAATACTTAAAAAAATCATCTGTTTTGAAAAAAATCTAATTTTATCCCTTGTGATTAAGTACTTTAACTCAAGTGTATTTTTTTAGAAATTTATTTTAAAACTTTGAATTGAACACCTTTGAAAATATATGAGAATCAGTACCTTGAACTGTAAATATTTGTTTCTCTTTTCTTAAAGGATTTCCTGTTGAACAAACTAGACAAAGAGGTATTCAAACCCAACATCATCAACTTCTCGGCCCAGACCACTGCACAACAGACGCAGAACATCATCATGTCTAAACTGGACAAGAGGAGGAAGGGAGTGTTCGGTCCACCCCTGGGCAAGAAAGCTGTAAGAAATAGATTATATTTCTATTGGGTTTCCATAGTTATTATTTTAAAGGTTATATTCTTTATGGATTTCAAATTTTATAAACCAAGGAGACTGGATTAATTTCATATGCATTTTGCAAATGAATTTTGAAATGGAATCTTTCTTTCATTCATAGAAATAATTTATTGCTAAAACATTTTTAAGTCTGGGTGTTTTTTTTTTATTTTGTGTGGGATTTTCAAAACTGAATTCCTGCCATGTTTCACTTTGTAGAAATCAGAAATTGAGGCTAAAATGTTATGAAATGTTTATTTTTTTTGTGTAAATCAACAAAAAAGAAAATTTTGAATTTGTAGATTGTATTTGTGGACGACTTGAACATGCCCATGTTGGAGCAGTTCGGAGCCCAGCCTCCCATTGAGTTACTGAGGCAGTGGTTGGACCACTGGAACTGGTACGACCTGAAGGAGACCACGCCCATGAAGTTGATTGACATCCAGGTCATGGCAGCCATGGGACCGCCCGGTGGTGGCAGAAACCCCGTCACCCCACGTTTCCTCAGACACTTCAACACCATCACCATTAATGAGTTTGATGATGATTCCATGATTACCATCTTCAGAAAAATCATGGACTGGCATATCTCTTCAAGGTAAGGCATATTGTTGAATTTAATTTGACCTTTTTTCAGTGCCAGGGTCCAAAAAAACCCAATTAACAAACAAACAAAACAAAATAAAAAAAAATATAATACAATTTAAAAAAAAAAAATTAAAAAAAATGTTTAAGAATTTACCCAGCCTTCCCTAATAATCTTATTTTCTTGGTCTAAATGTGAAGTTTTTTGAGCACATTCAGTATATGTGTTGTTATTCTGGTGTGAATTGTTATTTGTAACCGCTGTAATTACATGTGTAAGTAAGATCTGTAAATATGTGTTAATTGATATTTTATGTAATTTGTAAAATGTGTTTTATGTAATTTGTAACTGTTGTAAATGTGTCTTAATTTGTAACCGTGTTTTACGTAATTTGTAACTAATTTTAATTTATGTAATTTGTAACTGTGTTTTATGTATTTGTAACCATTGTAATTTATGTAATTTAATTGTAAATGTGTTGATTAATTTCTATCATATTTGTTCCTCCTTCTCTGAATGTTTCTGATATATATCTTGTCGTTACTTTTTGTTTAGGATGTCCCCGTAAGTAACTATACATAAGCATGCTTCTTATTCATTTAGTTCACTTGTTTCATTTTCACTTCATTATATATATTTCAAATTTCAAAATTGTTACATATCTGTTTAGTTTTATATATTCAATCTTTTATCTTCTGAAAATTGGCAGTATCTCTGTTTACAAGTACTAATAAATCTTTTTAGTCAACATTTAAATTAGCCTTCCCCTATATATATATTCATAATACCTATTAGTAAGCATATACATTTTTTAAGTACAATAGAACAACTTTGCATGGTTAATCTTTTCCCTTACGATATAGGCAATATACATGTACTATACTGGAGTCAAAGTTACTTCATGACTGTGAAGGGAATGCCCTTCAATGTTTGTATTAATAAATTCACTTTGTATGTTTCTTGTCCTCTGAGCACTTTGAAATTTTTAAGAAAGTAAGTTATACTTGCACACTCACAATTAAAAGACAAACAGTTGCACTTTATAAGGAATAGAATAACCAGTAATAAGAGAAATTGTCCATTTTTAGAAAAATTGTCATTTTTTATTGAAGTTCAATTTTTTTTTTATGAAAATGTTCAAAAAAAAAGTCAAGGCCATTACTCAAGGTCACAACAAAATGACATGTTCAAATAATATATTTACAAGTTTTGAGAATTTTCTTTTTTGCACTCTGTTATTTGATTAAGACATACTTTATATAAAAAACAGACAAAACATATATTCTATAGTGAATAGGTAATGTTTAAAATTATATACTCTTCTTTAATTGTACCCGTTATTCAAAACCATTCAGCAGACACAGCTGTCTCTTAAAAGGGTTGCATGTAAATGAAGTACTGTCTACTCCTGAAGAAATACTGCTTAGCACCTGTTTTTATGCCTTTAAAAATTAAGTTCTGCAATGTAGACCATCATTCAATGAAAATCCAAAGCTACAACTTTTTATGCATACAATTTTTTAAAAAATTCCTTTTTTTTTAATTTCTTCACTTTATTGTGTGTACAATCTTCCCAGTTTGATCTTTTTGTATAGAGAAGACCATTTATTGACAAATTTGAATTTGTTCTGTTCACAGAGGGTTCAGTAACGAGTTCAAACCCTGTGTAGACCAGCTGGTCCAGGGCACCCTCACCACCTACAAAGAGGCCATGAAGAATCTCCTCCCCACCCCTGCCAAGTCTCACTACCTCTTCAACCTGAGAGACTTCAGCAGGGTCATCAACGGCGTTCTACTGTCCACCCCTGAGACCATGGAGGAGCCTGCGTCCATGAAGAGGCTCTGGGTTCATGAGGTATGATGGCTTGTGTTATTGCCCTGAGGGCTTTACTGTGTGGAGGCAATACAGCAAATTTGCCTGCATTATTGCCCTTTTGCAAGGGCAATATCCTATAGCAATTAACTTTTCTAAATCTGAATTTATGAGTATTTTATAATCAAAAGTATCTTTGTTACTTTACATGTCTATTTAAAAGAAGAATAGTATCTTTACTTTTGATTTTTAAATTTTAAAAAGTTTTTATTTGTTTCCATTAGGTTTTCCGTGTTTTCTATGATCGTTTGGTGGACGATTCTGACAGGAACTGGCTGTTTAATTACGTGCGTGAAGTCAGTAAGACATGCCTGAGAGAGGACTTTGATCAATTATTTATTCACTTGGATTTTGACAATGACGGCAAGGTCACAGAGGATGACCTGCGTAGTTTAGTGTATTGTGACTTTGCTGATCCTAAATCGGATGCTAAGCATTATGTGGAGGTCAGAGATTTGGAACAACTGAGAGTCACCGTAGAGGGTTATCTAGAGGAATTCAATAACATGAGTAAAAAACCTATGAACCTTGTACTTTTTAGGTAAGATTTTTATATAAAAAAGTTACCTCCCCTTATAATTTTGAAGCAATGGGGGAGTAAAATTATTAGGTTTCTTTATTGATGTTTCAGATGTATATACTTTCTACATGCAATTTCATGTTTTTGGACTACCATTTTTATTCTGAATTCATTCAACTGAAAAAAAAAACAGAGAATGGAAAATTTTATATGCTGAAAATATATCTTTACAGATTTGCCATTGAGCATGTTTCCAGAATTGCTCGTGTAATAAAACAGAAGAGAAGCCACGCCCTCCTGGTGGGAGTGGGCGGTTCTGGCCGTCAATCACTCACACGATTGGCAGCTCATATGGCTGACTATGATCTATTCCAAGTTGAAATCTCTAAAAGTTACACCTCTAATGAATGGAGGGAGGATCTAAAGAGAATTCTTAGGAAATCCACTGAAACTGACAACCATGGTGTCTTCTTATTCTCTGATACACAGGTATGTTTTAAAATATTGTCTTGGTTAACCAAACCAGAAACAGTTTTTTAGGGATGCATTACTGTCAAGAAAGACTCTTTGCATTTTTCTTTTTCTAAAATTCAATGCTTAATACTTTAATTAGTTAAAACTTTGACATACTGGTAAGCATTCATGAAGTCAAACCTTATGTTTTTAGATAAAACAAGAATCCTTCCTTGAAGATATTAACAATTTGCTAAATGCTGGTGAAGTGCCTAATTTATTCCCTCTTGATGAGAAACAAGAAATTTGTGAGAAAATGAGACAACTGGACAGGTAAAGATTCATGTCTTAAAAAAAAAATCAAATATGCGTTGTTTTATTTTAAATATGAAATTTCTTCTTTTTTTCCCCCAAGAAGATGAGAATTTAAGATTTCAGTTAAATTTTGCAGCCTGTTATAATTTTGTTAAATATGAGACAGTTTCAATGAGTAAATTTTTCATTTCAGACAAAGAGATAAAACTAAACAAACAGATGGAACCCCTGTGGCCTTATTTAACTTCTTTATTCAGCGAGTCCGTGATCAGCTACACATTGTATTGGCCATGAGTCCTATTGGAGATGCCTTCCGTAACAGACTGCGTAAATTTCCCTCACTCGTTAATTGCTGTACTATAGATTGGTTCCAGGTACGTGCACTAAAAAGTTTAAAGTATGCTGAGAAATGTGAAAGTCTTCAGCATAGTTGGAATTTGTTGAAGGCATATTTAGTCATGCATTTAGCTGCCTTCAAAATATTCTTCAGATTTTAATTTTATTTCACAAGCAAACATTTTTTTTTTTAATTCTCAGTGGAAGAAAATCTAATTGTGAGGCATTACATCCAGTTTAATTTCTAAGTGATACTATGCTGCCCTCCATTTTATTGAATATTTACCTAGAAATTATTTTTGAAATGTACACTTATTATTCATGATTTCTAGAAACTATCACACCAAAGATGATACCAATACTAAATCTTGATAAATTTTTTTTTAGTCTTGGCCAGAGGATGCTTTGGAAGCTGTGGCCAACCGTTTCCTGGAGGACGTAGAGCTGGATGATGATGAGAGACAGGGCTGTACAGATATCTGTAAGACCTTCCACACCACCACCAGGGAGCTGTCCCAGAGGTTCTTCCTGGAGTTGGAGCGCCACAACTATGTCACCCCCACCTCCTACCTGGAGCTGATCAGCACCTTCAAAACTCTCCTCAGCAAGAAAAGAGAGTAAGACACACTTTGATTAGTCCTTTCTTAAAACTCATCATCCCATTTTTCAGTTGCATAAATTTTGCCTTAATGGGACAATTCAGAAATCCAATTCAAAATTGAAATGGACATAATTTTAGTAAATTTTCTCAGGGCGAAATTTGACAGGACTTGCCTTTTAGCTTTATAATTTTTTGAAGGGAGTAAAAGTCACTACTTATTATTTCAAATAAGAGTTATCTCTAATTTTCAAAAGATTGATGAATCTTAAGGACAATTTATTCCCCAAAAAAAGTCTATTCATTTTAATTTTTTGTAAATATTGTATTCTGCATCTTCGTTTAGTGAGGTGATGAAGCAGAAGAAGAGGTATGAGAAAGGTCTGGAGAAGCTGGACTCGGCCGCCTCCCAGGTGTCTGTCATGCAGAAGGAGTTGACTGACCTACAGCCCCAGCTCAGAGAGGCCAGTAAGGAGGTCGACGAAATAATGGTGGTCATCGAAAAGGACTCTGTAGAAGTAGCTAAAGTAGAAAAGGTAATTATTGTCCTAAAATAGCAGGAGAGAGGGGAGAGGAGAGAGAGAAGGAGGAAGAATGAAAGAGCTGCACAGAAATTTTTTTGTTTTTACAAATGTACTGTGGAATCGCTACTCTTAGACATTAATAAAAAATCCATTTTTCTGATCCTTTCCATTTTTATCACAATATAGGTTGTGAAAGCTGATGAGGCAGTTGCCAATGAAACAGCCAAGGCAGCTAAAGCCATCAAAGATGAATGTGACTCTGATTTGGCAGAAGCTATTCCTGCCCTGAACTCGGCCTTGGCTGCCTTAGATACCTTGACCCCACAGGATATCACCATTGTCAAGACCATGAAACAGCCCCCATACATGATTAAATTAGTGCTTGAGGCTGTGTGTGTCATCAAGGGAATCAAACCGGAACGTGTTCCGGATCCATCCGGATCTGGGAAGAAGATTGAGGACTACTGGGGCCCTGCCAAGAAAATGTTGGGTGACATGAAGTTTTTGGAATCTTTGCATAACTTTGACAAGGTAAGATTAACTTAATTGAATCATTTTGGCAGTGTATCTGTGTATTTGAAAGTCTCTGTCACAGATCAGAATATACTCTTATTTATGCAGGATAACATCCCACCAGCCAACATGAAGCAAATTCGAGCCAAGTACATCACCAATCCAGATTTTGAACCAGAGAAAGTGAAAGTAGCCTCCACAGCTTGTGAAGGATTGTGTAAATGGATTAAAGCTATGGATGTCTATGACAGGTAATTAAATGTCAAGGCAAACTGGTTCAACTGTAATTGTATATGCATGTACAGCGAAACCGTCAAATCTGACATACAATGGGAGATTAATTTATGCCGGTGTCCAACATTTTGAACCCGGGTTCAAAAAACAGATTCGAACCCCCCTATAAAATATTGAACCCGGGGTTCAAAATATTATGGCCAATCCAGACTTTTAATTTAACCAGAGAAAGTGATATATTATGGCCCTCCACACCCTTTAAATTTCAGAAGGATTGTGGCCATAATATATTGGTCCTTTTAATTTAAAGCAAAATATTATGGCCATAAAATATCGAGTCCTCTGCCCATTTATTGCCTCAACCAAATTTGTGAATTTCAAGGCCCCTGGGTCAGATGTTTTGGTGTAAGAAAGGGGGGGCTCTTTTGATTATGTAGTGAAAAATACATTAATTCTTTGAAAGTCTTGTCCTTTGCTACTGAGTATTATGTCTATGATCCAAGTTTATATATTTTAGAGGAAGAAAGGTGCATGTAGCAAAATAGTTAATTTCATGCCCCCTGGGTCAGGGGTATCAAAGGGCGGGGGGGGGAGGGGGGGGGAGGGTTACATAGTCTGAAAATAAATTAATCTGAAAATAAATTAATGCTTTGAAATCTGCTAAAAAAATTTAAAAAAAATCAAAATATTATGCTACACCGGAATAGACAAGGGTGATGAGGACAACATGATGTAAAGAACAGAAAACATTAAAACTGGAATTCAATTGAGGGTCAGAATACACAGTGGAAGAAATTGTTCAGGTGTTGGATTAGACAGTTCTCACTATACATGTATGCAACTCAAATGTAAGACTCAAATTTTCTGAAAAGTTAGAACAATTTTTGAAAAGTTTTGTTAAGTAAATGAAGACACAAACTTTATGAACAGATTTTTAAGAATTTTTTAATGTTATTTTGTGTTTTGAAAAGTAAATGAGACTCCACTGTACATGAATTGTCAAATTACTAAGAATCAAAGAATCTGAATCTTTTTTACTCCAGAGTGGCCAAGATTGTGGCCCCAAAGAAAGAGCAACTGAAGAAAGCCGAGGCAGAACTGGCAGTAGCCATGTCTCACTTGGAGAAGAAGCGAGCTTCCCTGCGTGAGGTTCAGGACAAACTGGCCAAGCTGCAGGAGACACTGGAGAACAACAAGAAGAAGAAGGCCGACCTGGAGACCCAGGTAGACCTGTGTACCAAGAAACTGGAGCGAGCCGAGCAGCTGATCAGTGGACTGGGGGGTGAGAGGGACAGGTGGAGTCAGAACGCTAGGTCCCTGGGGATCAAGTATAATAACTTGACCGGGGACATCCTGATCTCCTCGGGAACTGTGGCTTATCTTGGTGCCTTCACCTCAGCCTTCAGACAGGTGATTTTCATTTATTTTGGAGAATTGTGGCCCTTTTTAACCAAAAAAAAAAATCTCAAGACTGAGATAAAAATTTGACAACTCTGTAATTGTTTATTTAATAAAGAATTTTTTTAAAAAATATTATGTAAAGGTTATCTAATGTAATACAAATAGTTATTTTTTAATTAACACACTTAGATGCTTCTTCAAGAATTGGAAATTTTTTATCCTAATTGTAACCCAGAAGATTTTTGTGAAAAATTTTTGACATTTTCATCGACAAATAAGATTCAAAAATTATAATCAAGAGTAATTGGATTACATGAATTTTTAAAATCAGAGTTATTATTCAAAAAGTAATAGGGTTAGTCAGAAAACAAAAGAGCAAATCAACAAGATATTGATGGGGATGTAAGAATCAAAATTATATGTTTTCTTTGAATCTTTTTTTGTAGGATCAAGTGGAATCCTGGATAAACATGGTAAAAAAGCAAGGAATCCTGTGTTCTGATGACTTTTCCCTGATCAATACTCTGGGAGAACCTGTTAAAATGCGGGCTTGGAATATCTCAGGTCTTCCAACAGACAGCTTCTCCCTGGAAAATGGTATCATTTTGGCGTAAGTATCCTCTGCTTTCTTTCTTTTTGGGAGGGGAATTGGAGATGAGCCTGAAAGTTAAAAATTTTGTCTTTCTTATGATTTTCCAGTCCAAGACTGAATATGCATTTCAAAAGAGGTAAACAGCCATGCACAGTCATATACAGATGCTTGTGTTGCCAATAAAATTATCTGAAATAATGATAAGTCCAGATGAACTTGTACCTTTTATAATTGGAAGATTTAAAAGGAAATTCTGTTCTCAACAAATTTTGGTGGGAGTGTTGAGTTCCCTAGATATTAAGGTCTAAATGTAGAGATGAAAACTTTTCAGAGTTTGTGCAGTTCATGTGTTTAAAAAGAAGAAAGAATACATGTACATAAAATGACTCTATTGTACCATGGAATGGTGTATTCAAAGCTTTCTTCTCTGTTTTCAGCAATGCCAGGCGATGGCCACTGATGATTGACCCCCAGGGTCAGGCCAACAAATGGATCAAGAACATGGAGAAAGCCAACAACATCCACGTCATCAAACTCAGTGACTCAGATTTTGTCAGAACACTGGAGAACTGCATCCAGTTTGGAACTCCTGTAAGTGAAAAATCTCTGAAAGGCTTTTGTAGCAAGTTATTTGAATAGAAATTTTATCATATTTTGCTTATTTGCATCAATCTTTCTTTATTTGCTGCAATTTTAATCAAACAAAACCATTTTCAAGGAACTTAGCTTTCTCTGTTACAAAGTATATTCTTAGCATCAAAATGATCTGCTTCAGTAAGCTGGAGATCTTACAATACTGACAATACATGTTACAGGTTCTTCTTGAAAACATTGGTGAGGAAATGGACCCCCTGTTGGAACCTCTCCTCCTGAAACAGATCTTCAAACAAGCAGGTGCCATGTGCATCCGACTTGGTGACAGTACCATTGAGTACTCCCAGGACTTCAAATTCTACATCACCACGAAACTGAGGAACCCCCACTATCTACCAGAAACCGCCGTAAAGGTGACCCTCCTAAACTTCATGATCACCCCCGAGGGTCTCCAGGATCAGTTACTGGGTATTGTGGTCGCCAGGGAGAGGCCAGAGCTGGAGGAAGAGAAGAATGCCCTCATTATACAGAGTGCTGACAACAAGAGGCAGCTCAAGGAAATTGAGGACAAGATCCTTGAAGTATTGTCCTCCTCTGAGGGGAATATCCTTGAGGATGAGACGGCTATCAAAGTTCTGTCCTCCTCCAAAGTCCTGGCTAATGAGATCTCTGAGAAACAAGTGAGTTATTTGATTCAGATTCAATTTACTTAATATATAATATTCTTCCTCAATTTCTTTCCCTCAAAGATAATGCAAAATCTGAATAATTTTTTGGAAAGTTCTACCTTTTGAAATATAAAAGACAGTTTATATTACAAATCTTTTATTTAATCATTTGCCAAACATTTTTGTATCCATTTTAGAACAAACTTTGATTTTCAGCTTTTATTAAAAAAAAAAAGAATTTAGAAGAATGAGATACATGTAAATTTTGATTACAGGCCATTGCTGAAGAAACCGAGAAGAAGATTGACACAGCTAGAATGGGCTATACCCCAATCGCTATACATTCCACCATTCTCTTCTTCTCTATTGCTGATCTGGCTAATATTGAGCCTATGTACCAGTACTCACTGGCTTGGTTCATCAACCTATTTATAATGTCCATTGACAATGCTGAAAAGTCTGACGATCTGGACACGCGTCTGAAAAATCTCCACAACCACTTCACCTATTCCCTGTACTGCAACATCTGCAGGTCACTGTTTGAGAAAGATAAGGTAAAAAAAATTCTTCAGGTATACAATTAGCTTTTGAAGATCAAATTATGCCATATCCTGAAATATTCTTTTTTAAATTTTTTCTTTTAATTAAATTTTGGTACATTTTGGAATGAGCTAAAGAAATCCAATTAGCATTTGGATTTTGGGTGAATTGTTTACCTTAGTTTTGGAAAGGACACCAAAGCTTCCAAACTCCATGAGACATAAAAAAAATTGCAATAATTTAAAAAAAAAAATTGGGCATTAGTAATACCTGCATTATTCCTGTTTCTCTTTTTAGCTGTTATTCTCCTTCCTGCTGTGCGTCAACATCCTGAAACATGACAAACTGATTAATGAGGAGGAATGGAGATTCCTGCTGACCGGAGGAATCGGATTGGATAACCCACACGCCAATCCAACAGACTGGCTGCCTTCCAAGTCCTGGGATGAAATCTGTAGGTTGGAGGATCTGAGCCACTTCAAAGGAATGAGAACTAAATTCATCTCGCAGAAAGATGGCTGGAGAGAGGTGTACGATTCATTGGTATGTATACATACTCAAATACAGTCAATCTTCCATATCTCAAACTAAATGTGACCAAGATTAAATTTGAGGTATCTGGATATTTGTGATATCGAGGGTAAAATACTTAACGAGTAGGTGATCTGGGACTTCAGTTCTCTTTGACATATCCATGGTTTTACTTGGAAGGAATAATTTGTGTTTTTTTTTGTAGGACCCGTTCCATCAGACAATGCCTGGAGACTGGAGTGACAAGTTACAAACTTTCCAGAAGTTGCTGGTTCTAAGGTGTCTGAGACCTGACAAGGTAGGATTTCATTTGTACCTGAAAATTTCTTTTATTTCCATGAAAATTTGCTTTTAAAGTACATGTACTTGTATTCTAGGTATATGAACAAAAGATGTTAACTTGAGGAAAACAATCTAGCTTTATAATCATATGATCATAAATAATAATTGATTTTAACAATCTGAAATTTAATACATACTTGTATATGTTCAATGGATTTAAAATTTTAATTTTTTCTCCATTCACAGATAACACCAGCAGTACAAGAGTTTGTCACAGAAAAACTGGGCAAGAAATTCATTGAGCCCCCACCCTTTGATTTGCCCAACTCCTTCAACGACAGTAATCCCACCTCCCCTCTGCTGTTTGTGCTGTCCCCGGGAGCTGATCCCATGTCAGCCCTGCTCAAGTTTGCTGATGATCAGGGATTTGGGGGAGCCAAGTTTGACTCTCTGTCTCTGGGTCAAGGTCAGGGTCCTATCGCCTTGGCAATGATTGAAAAGGGTATCAAAGAGGGCACCTGGGTCATGTTGCAGAATTGCCACTTGGCTCCCTCTTGGATGCCTACCCTGGAAAAGATTTGTGAGGTAATTCATAAATTTTATTGTAACTTTAGAGCTTTGCTAGAAAAACCATAAGATTGCTTTTGTAAATATTCCTGCAAAGAAATTTCTTCAAAATTGAATTGGTGGGTAGACTTTTACCATAAGTGAGTATATTTCTTGTATATATGTAAAATAACATTATAATTATTTAAATTTATAATTATTTAGGAGTTCAACCCTGAGCAAATCCATCCCGACTTCAGATTATGGTTGACCAGCTACCCCTCCAACCAGTTCCCTGTGTCCATTCTGCAGAATGGTGTCAAGATGACCAACGAACCACCAAAGGGTCTCCGATTTAACATCCTAAGGTCATACCTTTCCGATCCCGTTTCTGACATGGATTTCTTTAATGGAGTCAAACCTCAGAATGCAGTATGTGTTTTTTTTTTAATTTCTGAAACATTTTCTTTAATAAATTTTATTGACCATTGGAATTTTTTTTTCTAAAATAGTACTTTTCCCAATGTTTTCAGCCATGCAATTTCAGCTCTATTTTTGATAGTTTTAAATGTGTAATTGTAGTATTTTTTCATTTCTTTTTTTTGTATCAGAATTTTTTTTTTTTACTTAAATAAGAAACCTATCAATATTTAATACAACATTTTTTTAGTTGATTTAAGGTTTTCAGAATATACCATATATAATTGTTCTTTAAATTAGTCAATAATTAACTGCAGTAAATAATCTTACAATTTGTTTACCTTTTTGAAAATTTCAGAAAGCCTTCAAGAAGCTGCTGTTTGGCTTGTGTTTCTTCCACGGAATCGTCCAGGAGAGAAGAAAGTTTGGTCCGCTGGGATGGAACATTCCGTACGAATTCAACGAGACGGACTTAAGGATCAGTGTCAGGCAACTCCATATGTTCCTCAACCAGTATGATGTAAGTCATGGGTCTTATGACATTCTGAGAAGTAATTGTGAAAAATAATTTTCATCAGATATTCTTAGATGTAATGTAAATCTATTGAAAATTAAGTGTTCCAAATTATGGATATCTAATTGGACATGCACTGGGAGACAAATTTTGTGTCGATCAGAATAGACAGGAAGATGGATTAAACAGTGTTATAAAAAATGAACACAAATAAAATGGGAATGAAAATAGAGGTTGTAATTTGAAGTGAAACAGATTGCACAGGTTTTGGATTAGTCACTTTTCACTGTATTTTTAAGCTATTTTCATAATTTTATTGAATGTCTATTTATAGTTACATATTAGAAAAAAAATCAATTGTATTTAATAAACACAACTAGAAGCAATTTTTTACCCTCGTTTTGTTATGTCTGTTACAGGAAGTTCAGTACGATGCCCTGCGTTACCTGACGGGCGAGTGTAACTACGGAGGTCGTGTGACGGACGACTGGGACAGGAGGATGTTACATAGTACCCTGGACAGGTTCTACTGTAAGGACATCATCCAGAAGGAGGACTACTTCTTTGATGAATCCAAAGTCTACTTTGCCCCACCAGATGGCGAGGTGAGTAGATTTCATATCCACATGTTTACTGTCAAATTATTTTTTTTGGGGGGGGGAGTTAAATTCTTGTTGATTTTGTGGTATGAAGAGAAACTAATCCTGTTTATTGTCAAATCATTATTAAAAAAAAAAAATTTGGTGAAGGGGGAGGGGCATTGATTTCATTTAATGAAGAGACCAACAAATCTTTGTTACCCTTGAAATATTGAATTTTAATTTAGTATGAGAGCTATCTTGAGTACATCAAGAGTCTGCCCCACAACCCCAAGCCTGGAATCTTTGGTATGCATGACAACGCTGACATTACTAAGGATCAGGGCGAAACTAAACAGTTATTTGACAACATTCTTTTGACTCAGGTTAGTATTTTTTGTGTGTGGAGAAGTTTGGAGTGTTTGAACCTAATTCAGATCAAAAAGAATGTTGTGGTTAAAGTAGCTTAACAAAAGAGTGATTGTGAAATCTCTAAAAATAAAAAAAAGAGCTTTACTTCGGGGTGTGAGTCTTTTAAAACATTTCATTGTTAAGGATATTTACGATTTCAGAGGTCAACATAAGCATACAAAAAAAGATCTTTTTTTTTTTTACTAAGCTTATATATTGCATTATTACAAAATATGGGGGGTCCTTATGATATAAATCATTAGTTTGGACCAAAGTGTTGAATGGAAAATTGAAGTATGGGTATCATCTTGAAACTTGCACAACTAATATTTAAATCAGTTTAAGTCTCTATGCTCAATAAGTATGAAAATGACTCATTTGGATGGCATATAATCATCTTTTTGTGTGATATATTTGCATATATATGTAGATGTACATTATATTGTACGTGACATTATTACATGCATATGTTGAATCCGCTTTTGATACCCTTAGTTTTATATACAATTTTTATTAGACATTCAACCCCCGTTTTTGTAATTAATCAAATTAATGATGAAACTAATGCATTGTTTTTATTTTTATTTTTTGCTTTTATGTGTGTTTGCTGTACAAAATGTCATTTTTGATCCCGACATCCACTTGATGTATCTTATGTGTGATACAGAAAAGGGTAACCATAGCGATTATATATACACATATATTATCCACCTGCCATTATTTTTCTTAGCTGCTCTTTAGCTATACTATAGATGTAGATTAAGCTTTATATCTCCTTTTACTCCAGAGCAAATAGGTTTATATCTGTAAAACTCGGACGGTAGTAATGACAAACCTTACTTTTTATTAATTTTCAAAAACATATTACACACTTCAGGAATTTTAAATAAGAATTAAGAGAGACATGAAAAATTGGGATTTTTGAGGCACATTTTTATGCTATTTGATGAACTAAATTCTGGAAGAATTTAGGATGCAGTTTAAATTCCTTTTTTTTTTCAATTATACAGTGTATTGAAGATCATATATATATATTTAGCTACTCCTGTATATGCACAAAATATTCATGGGATTTTTTCTTAATTAAGTATTTGAATATTATTTAACAAATTCCTGCAACAAAATTTCTGAACTGCCAGTTTTACAAAAAATCTTTAAAAAGTTATTTATACAACTTCCTCTTAGATGTGTATAGCATTTCTAGTAATACAAGACAAAAGGACTGAATTACAATTCCTACTTCTATTAGAATCTGCTATTTTTCTATCCCTTTTCTATCCTAGCCGTTTTATCATTCTTTATACGTAAGCTTTTAATACCTAGATATACCAGGTATATGGTACTTCTTTTTCTTCTCTTGTTTACTGTACTTGTCTCATTCTCATTTCAGCAAGGCGCGGTGAATAATTTTTTTCTATGTTTTCTACAAATTTTTGAATTTGATTAAAGTTTATGGTTCTTGAATTTGATTACAGTTACATCTATTTCATTGAGTTAAATAATAACGTTTGTTCTGATTACGTTTTAATTCAGTATTTCAATTAATTTTGTTAAATTTCAGTTTCGCCGATATGTTTTGGTTGGTTAAAAATTCATGGAACTATATTGTTTAAAGGCTTGTTTTTGTAAATGCTCACTCTATATACATGTATTTTAATTCTTTCATTAAATGTTTTGAAAAATGCTGCATATGGCATGAAATAAGATGGTTAAATGAAATTAGCATGAACAACCAAAAAGAATGATCACGTCAGTCGTTAGATTCTTTGCCAAATCTTGATAATACTGAACACAAAACTGTAAAAAGCTTATCACTTGTTTAACTTTGTAGGAATTTCATGTCAAGCACATGCATGTATATGTAAAGTTATAGTTTAATATTCAATGTTACTGACTTTGTTCAGAATTCATTGATTTTAAAGTTTAAACTCTCTATTTTTGACAAAGATAGCTAGGTGTTAATTTATTTTAAAATATTATTTGCAAGTGTTCTTAAGAGTTTTAATGATTAAACTTATCAATAAAAGTGCTGATCTCAAAAGAATTATTTTCTGAATTACTCTCTTAATTTTTTATTTAAAAAAATTAAAATAAATGAATCAAAAATGAAATATTTTTTGTTGAATTTTCCTGTACAGGCGAAAGCTTCATCAGGAGGTGGAAAATCCACAGACGAAATTGTGGATGAAGTGGCACAGGATATCTTGTCCAAGATTCCAGGAAACTTTGACACGGATGCTGCTCTACGTAAATACCCGACGTCTTACAAACAGAGCATGAACACTGTCTTGGTACAGGAAATGGTGCGCTTCAACAGACTGCTCAGTATCGTACGCTCCAGCTTACAGAACATCAGGAAAGCCATCAAGGTGTGTAGAAAACTTGATTGAATTCCTTTTTTCTGCAACAATTACTGTAAACCAACTTTTATTGGCATGCGAGAAATTTTTGCCCAGTTCGTGAGAGCCTCGTCATCACAAATATTTCTTGTTGCGAATCGGTCCTTAAAGTGTATGTGTCAATTAACAACAGATCCAAAAAGGCTTGATTGCGAAAATTAATTGTCTCGAACTAGTTTATTCCTGGTATATCCAAAAATAGAGTCATCAGGAATAAAAGTTGGTTTACAGTAATGCTCAGCATTGTATATTAAGATTACTGCATGAAAAGTTTTATGCTGAGCTGCACAGGTTTCATTTCTGTATCAATTCAAAATTGTAACTTGAATGATTCTATTTATATAAGGTTCTTTTATAAAAGACATTTTCAATTTCCAAATTCCATATGATTTTCAAAGATAAGGCTAAATGCTTTGATATCCACTCCACAAAGAGCTATGCTCCAGTTTCTTCCATATTAAGTATACTAACCTTCCTTTTCAAGTTTTCACCTCCTATATTTTTGCAGGGATTGGTGGTCATGTCGGCAGATCTGGAGGAGGTGGTCCTCAGCATCTTGAAGGGTAAGATCCCCGGCATGTGGATGAAGCGTTCCTACCCCTCCCTGAAACCACTGGGAAGCTACGTCAACGACTTCATCGCCCGTCTGAAGTTCCTCCAGGATTGGTACGATGATGGAGCACCCCCACAGTTCTGGATCTCCGGCTTCTACTTCACACAGGCCTTCTTGACCGGGGCACAGCAGAACTTTGCCAGAAAGTACACCATTCCTATTGATTTGCTGGGCTTTGATTACGAGATTCTGGATGATGCTGACAAAGACACACCACCTGAAGATGGTAAGTTCTCCCCCATATTGTGTCCTTATTTTTTTTGACGGGGGAGGGTTACCATTTCTAATTTGAAAACATTTATTTTTTATACACGAAATATATAGAGATAATGGACATTATACAGCTAAAAAATCCATTAAACAATATAAAATAGGAGCAGAGCAAACATGGACCTCCAAAACAACAGAGATGGGATCAGATGTATTTTGTAATTTTTGTTACCATAGCTTTAATGTGATGTGTCTTTTTTCTGTAGGAGTGTATGTATATGGATTGTTTGTGGATGGAGCCAGATGGGACAGAGATGATAAGAGATTGGCAGAATCCAAACCCAAAGTGTTGTTTGATGCCATGCCTAAGGTTTGTTACATGATATTAACACATTTTACTCTATTAAGTGAAACTTGACTTGTCAGGATACTGTGTATTCTGAAATCTTGCTTAATACAATGAAAACTTTAAGTCCCTATCAATAAATTTAATTGTTAAAAATGATAATTTAGAATGTTGCCTTATCCGGTCAATTTCTTAATGAACAGGATTAGACAAGTTTCACTGTATGTACATGTACAGTGAAACTTGTATAATCTGGATTTGTGTATTCCGAAATCCTGCTTAATACAGTGTTAACATCATTAAGTCCTTTTTAGTAAAACGTAAAATTCCGTTTTTTACCCATGGCACCAGTGATCAAGTCAGATTTAGACAAGTTTTATTGCACATGTATGTCAAGGCATACACCTTATGCTTCAATTACCCGCAGTATTTGTTCATGACATCAATTAAAGATTTTAAATTACTATCGCATTTAGTCATTTATTTGTGTGTAATTTGTCAAATGATAAAAATGAAATGAAAATCTTTAAATATAACAAATATTTTTTTGTTCACTAGGTCTGGGTGAAACCTTGTAAGAGGTCAGATATTCCAGCCAAGAAAATCTACGTGTCTCCCGTGTACAAGACGTCCGAGCGTCGTGGTGTGCTGTCCACCACTGGTCACTCCACAAACTTTGTCATTGCCATGTCCCTACCCTCCGACAAATCCCAGGACCACTGGATCAGGAGGGGCGTGGCTCTACTCTGTCAGCTCGATGACTAAGTCATCCCCCCTTAAAAAATACTTTAATTGTGCTCTATGGATTTTCACCAAACAAATTTTATACTATTTTGGTTTATTCAACAGTCCTGGAGACTTTCTAGAAGTTAATTTTTATAAAGCATTTGAGAAGAGGTCATCTATGTTTTTAAACTGGTTGAATTTATTGTGACCAATATCAGCTGAATCATCTTGGAGTTTGTGTGCTATCGTTAATTCACCTGATCTATTCTCATTGGTGTGTAGAACTAAACACTATATATTGTTTTTATATCATTGAAGAAGGTGAATGATTTAAGAGGCATTATCTATTGATAATTGATAGATTGGTGCATTATCAATCTAAGAAGAAAATTGGGTCAATGAAAGTGAAAACGAGACTTCCTCCTTAACAAGACTGTGATAAAATATTGATTGCATTTTATTTTTGATTATTTATATTCAGTTTTTGTTGTTGTTTTTTTTTGTTGATATATAACTGAAATGTAATTGTCTTATTTACATCTTCACAAAATCATGGTGTGATATATTTTGACCTGCTAATTGGTTTAATTAAATGCATTCACTACAGTGTGTGCAGTCTTTCCACAATGGAAAATAAATCCGTCCATTTTATTATTTTTTTTTTCAGAGATATTTATTTTTCAGAGTAAAAAAATCAGTATTTTTGACTTCATTTATTCTCACCAGCTAAATATTGTTAAAGTTTCTCTCTGTCTCTTCCTTTTTCACCTCCTTCGTGCTATCGATTTCTTAAACTTTGTTTAGATAGAGGATTTACAAATCATCTGTGATAAAATTGACATCTGCTGATGTGCCTAATAAACAAGAAAGTATCTTTTTGTGGCAGTTGAAAATAAATACTTGTACATGTATATGTTTACACAATAAAGATATTCTCTGCAATTTGAGTTTTTCATCTCTATTTATATAAAATAAATGCTGACGGTTGATTGGATATTTGTCATCTGATTTAATCTTTGTTTTTTCAAACCGCAATTGACTAAGACTGGCAAAGCTGGACTTGCAGTTTAAAAATGGATTTACACTTAATTTGTCAACAATTCATGAATTTTCAGGAAAGGTATGAAGATTAAGACAAAAATTAGGAGAAACTAAGACAAATAGAACGAGATAGAATTCAACACATTTTTAAAGTTTACAAGGTTTAAAAAATTGAGTACTTTGCCTATTTTTACATAAAAAGAAATTTAACATTGTACCATACTGCTTTGCGATTTTGGACAAAAGATGAAAACGAAAGGCTAAGGTTACAATGTACACTGCAGAAAAATCATTGAATTTATAATTTTTTGAGTGTATTCTGAGTCTGAAATTATTTGGGTTGCATAAGAATTCCACAAAGGTTTAACTTTTACCTTAGAAATAATAAATAAAGGTTTTTATTTTAAAGTGAGATAAAAGCTTTACTTATTAAGTGAAATGGTATTCTTAAATATGTTTAAGTTTTGTCCCCAAAAATGCACATTATTCCCAATTACATGTAGATAACAATATTATTTTAGCTGACAATGTAATTTAGAAATGTTGAGTCTATTCCCATTGGCTGTATATATCCTGAATGGTTGATGTCTCTATCTGTAAATGTTGACATTCTATGATTTCTTTCATCCTAAGGATGATACGTATCCTGAGTGGTTGATATTGTATCTGAAAATGTTGACATTCTATCATCTAAGGATGATATTTATTCTGAGTGATTGATATCTCATCTGTTAATAACGATATATTCTATCATCTAGGGATGATATGTATCTTGAGTGGTTGATGTCGCCATCTGTTAATGTTGACGTTCTAACATCTAAGAATGATATGTATTCTTAGTGATTGATATCTCATCTGTAAATGTTGACATTTTATAATTTAGGAATGATATGTATCCTGAGTGGTTGATATCTCATCTCTGGTAAATGTGAACTTTCTATCATCTAAGGATGATATATATCCTTAGTGGTTGATATCTCATCTGTTAATATCTTAGGATGAAAAGTTGATATCTCCATCTGTAAATGCATCGACAGTCTATCATCTAGAGATGATATAAGCCCTGAATGGTCGATATATCATCTGTTTATTTTGATATTCTATCATCCGAAGATGATATATATTCTCTATCATTCGAAGATGATATATATTCTGAGTGGTTGTTATTTGGTATTACCCACTCAACCCCTTGTTGGAGGAGGGACCCCAAACCCTCTCTACCTTTCAAAGATCCACTGTAATTTTAATGGACCCCAGAATGGAACAGGAGGACAGAGCAACAAAACACAATGTGGAGGCGAACCTTGGAAAAGGAACTAAAGGAAAACAATCTTACCTTGGGAGAGGTGGAGAAAAAAGTCAAGAACGGAGAAGAATCGAAATCCCTAGTCCTTACCCTTTGTGTCTCAGAGTGCAACAAGGACTATAGGTAGGTAGATAGATCTATAATTTGAATTGTTAGCAACAACTCTATACTCTATATTACTTATCTGCATCTTTTTAAATCAAAAGAAATGTTATACATATCAAAAAAAAAAAAAAAAAAAACAACGTAAAATATTTAGTTGGTACAATAAACACTTTTATTCTGTGTTAAGTACTTTAATTTTGAAAGGGAAAAGGAAATAAAGCTTTAAAATATCATATTCATTACCAAAATGTTTATAAAATTAACAAATAAAGTTAACTAGCTCTCATCCTCTAACGAGGGGGACACACAGCAATGAAATAATCGTAGAATCCTCTTCTTCAAGTTCTGAAAGTACTTTCTTCTAGATACCTAAACAAAGATTCAAAAAGGGTTTAATAATCAAAAATAAATTTCCCATTTGAATGAATTAATATTATGCAACTTTATGTTCTAATAGTCCAAAGCTGATTCTGCAAAGATATCTTCAGGTTCGTTGTTTTCAAAAGAGAGTTTTAATTTTAAATTTTCTGGTTTAAAAAATTCCACAATAAAACCACCATCATTATGGTTTGACATTCTACATGTATGTATATTCAAAAGAAAATAAAATGCAATACCATATGAAAAAGTATATTAAAAGAATGTCATTCGGTATTTACCTTGTTTTTGTGGCATTTCTGGTCTTGTTTTGTTTCACTATTTTCTTTCAGATTTGCCTGATCAGCATCTTCAAGGGGATTGGACACACTCCGGACAACAGGCACTTTCATCTATAATTAAAACACAATACTGTGTATTGACAGAGATGTGTACATAATAGTTTTTAAAATAGGTTACACATTTTTATGGTTAATTATGGTTAATATTGTAGGCATCCTTAGAATGTTTTTACTATGCAAACAAATAAACTTTGCATAAAATGAAATTTTTATTGAGAGTATAAATTGGAACCATAACTTGGAAATTGGAGGATATAAATATTAGAAATAAAGGACATACAAAAACTTTGTTTTCTAAATATCATAAACAATCTATTGGGACAATCTGGAAAAATAGACTACGCAAGTTAAAATGTCAGTGTTTGGCATATTTTTGCAGAATTTGTGGTACACACACAAAAAAGTATCATGGTATAAATAATCAGGTGATATTATTCAAAGATCTATATATAATATTTAGAAAACAAAGTTTTTATATGTCCTTTATGACTAATTAAAATCTTCCAATTTCCAACTTATGGTTGCACTTATTTGCACTACAATGGAAAAAAATTGAATTCAGTCAGTATACCTTTAATTCCTTATAGACTTCTGTCATCTTAGACTTAACTTTTTCGATTTCTGCTAGTCTTTCATCTCTCTTTATAAATTCAGCATGTATGCTCTATAGAAAAACAAAACAATTTACCAGTATTTAAAAATACACTTTAATAATCATAAAATATTGAAAATTCAGAAATACATTTAGAAGAAATAATTAAAACTTACTGTCAGTACGATTTGAAATTGTATAAAATGTCAGCTATACATTTATAAAATATACAATATTCATTGCTCAATATAAACAAAAATATCATATTTTGTACTTTACCTGACAAAATTCTTTCCTTTCTGATCCAATGTTATGTGGTTTGATGTTCTTCTGGACATTTTCAAAATTAATATTCTGTGAATAGCTTTCCATACTGTAGGCATGTTCATAATTGATAAATACCCTAGACTAATACACAGAATATGACATATTGTAAAAAAAAAAAAAATAAAATGTAGATCTTTTTTTTTAATTTTCAAATCTAAAATTTTAAAGCTGTTTTTTATTTTAAAGTTTGGATTTCATGAAATATATCTCGATTATAAGGTGAGTGAATACCTTTAATTCTTCTTGAACATTTGCCATCAGTTTCCTAATTCTTTTTCTATCAATTTCCTCTTCAACTCTGCCCATTAAGTTATTGATTATACCCTACATAAAAATACACCGTCGTTTATCCTGTTTATAAACATTTCAGTGATTTTACATTGAGATTTCAGCAAGTTTTTTTTAGAATACTTATTTCAAATTTGTAAATATAATTTAAACAAATCTGAAAAAAAATTAATACACATGTTTTTATTTCATACACATTTACTTATGTAACATTTTTTTATTCTTCATTTTTTTTCAAATCAAAAATGAATAATTATTATTGATTATACATAAAGTTTCAGCGAGTTCATTACAAGGCATTTTTTTCCTTACCTTTAACATCTGTTCATCTTCAACATGCAAAGCTTTGTCAAATATAAGAATCTGAGATTTTTCATCCTTTCCCTGAAACGAATCATCACAATAGAAGTTGAAGAATCAAGAAAGTTTTAAAATCATCTGTCGTACAACTGTTAGAAATTGATCGGTTTTGCAGAAAAAAAGCAATATAAATACTTTTGTTCTTACTGTCAAATCATCCAGATTTTTCTTCATGTTACATTGCCTTTCAACTATGTCAAGTATGGCATCAGCCATATTCTTATCAAGATAAAAATATTATGAATTATCATATTAAGTTGAAACTTTTCTAATCCTGACATCACATAGAAATTGTCTCGATAAAACAACATACCAAATAAGACAACATTTCAAAAAATTGAATACTAGTAGATAGATTTTTCTAAAAATAATTATGGTATTCGACAAGATTTTGGAATATACAAAATCTGGATTCTACATTTTTTTTCACTTAAGAATAGATTTAAGAGTATATTTATAGTAATGCCGTTCAGAATTACCTTGTCATTGTTCCTGCTTTTGTGGCTTTTACTTTCTTGTTTTGTCTCAATAAGTTCTTTCATATTTTCATGATCAGCAACCTCAGAGGGATAGGACACACTCAGGACAATAGGCACTTTCAACTATTTAAAAAACAATATGGTGTAATGAGATACATAATATATCAACTTCAAATCGGTGTCTATGTACCTTTAATCTTAAATATTGAAAATTCAGCAATACATTTAGAACACGTAGATTAACACTTTCTGTCAATACAATCTGAAATTGTATAAAATGTCAGCCTTACATTTATAAAATACTTCAGTATACAATATTCATTGCTCAACTAAAAAAAAAATCATATTTTGTACTTTACCTGACAAAATTCTTTCTTTTCTGATCCAATGTTATGTGGTTTGATGTTCTTCTGGACATTTTTAAAATTAATTTTCTGTGAACAGCTTTCCATATTGTAGGTATGTTCATGAATGATAGATACCCTAGACTAATACACAGAATATGACATATTGTAAAAAATCAAATACAGATCTTTTTTTATTTTCAAGTCTGCAATAATAAAGCTGTTTTTTGTTTTAAGTTTGGATGTCATGAAATATATCTCGATTATAAGGAGAGTGAATACCTTAAATTCTTCTTGAACATTTGCCATCAGTTTTCTAATTCTTTTTCTATCAATTTCCTCTCCAGCTCTGCCCATTAAGTTATTGATTATACCCTATATAATAACACACCGTCATTTATCCTGTTTATAAACATTTCAGTGACTTTTTATTGAAATTTCAACAAGTTTTTATGAATATTTATTTCAAATTTGTAAATATAATTTAAACAAATCTGAAAAAATTCAATACACATGTTTTTATTTCATACACATTTACGTTTGTTACATTTTTGTATTCTTCATTTCTTTCAAATCAAAAATGAATAATTATCCAATGTAAAGTTTTTTTTCCTTACCTTCACTATCTGTTCATCTTCAATATGCAAAGCTTTGACAAATGTAAGAATCTGAGATTTTTCGTCTCTTTCCTGAAACGAATCATCATAATTGGAGTTAGAGTCTAGAAAGTTTTAAAATTATCTATCATACAACTGTTAAAAATTGATCTGTTTTGCAGAAATAGCAATATAAATACTAGTGCTTTAACTTGTTCTTACTATAAAAACATCCAGAATTTTCTTTATATTACATTGCCTTTCAACTCTGTCAAGTATGGCATCAGCCATATTCTTATCGAGATAAAAAGATTATGAATTATCATATTAAGTTGAATCTTTTCTAATCCTGACATCACATAGAAATTGTCTCGATAAAATAACATACCAAATTAGACAACATTTCAAGAAATTGAATACTAGTAGATAGATTTTACTAAAAATAAGTATGGTATTAGACAAGATTTTGGAATATTCAAAATCTGGATTCTACATTTTTTTAAACTTAAGAATAGTTTTAAAAGTATATTAATAGTAATGTCATTCAGATTTACCATGTCATTATTCCTGCTTTTGTGGCATTTATTTTCTTGTTTTGTCTCAATAAGTTTTCTCAGATTTGCATGATCAGCAACCTCAGGGAAATAAGACACACTCAGGACAATAGGCACTTTCAACTATAAAAAAAACCAATATGGTGTATTGAGATATATATTATATCACAACAAGATTGCCATTTTTCCTGAGCATTAAGAATAAAATTAAAATTTGTGAATGGGCAAGGATTAGTCAATCAAAACCGTCCAGAAATTTGAAGTTTCAATAAGTTTTAGATGAAATAATTTTTTAATTATATTTTCGTGTGAAATGCTATCGCAATATATAAGTCGTGTTATTTTACAGAAAATTTGAGAAAATGCTAACTTTAAATCGGTGTCTATGCACCTTTAATAATCTTAAAAATTGAAACTTCAGCAAAATATGTTAGCAGAAATAGATTAACACTTACTGTCAGTATGATTTGAAGTTGTATCGAAATGTCAGCCTTTCATTTATAAAATATACAATATTCATTGCTCAAAATAACAAAAAATATATTTTACCTGACAAAATTCTTTCCTTTCTGATCCAATATAGTGTAGTTTGTTGTTTTGGACATTTTCAAAATTGATTTTCTGTGAATAGCTTTCCATACTGTAGGCATGTTTATGAATGATAGATACCCTAGACTAAAACACAGAATATGACATATTGTAAAAAAAAATGTAGATCTTTTTTTATTTTCAAGTCCACAATTATAAAGCTGTTTTTTTGTTTTAAGTTTGAGTGTCATGAAATATATCTCGATTATAAGGAGAGTGAATACCTTAAATTCTTCTTGAACATTTGCCATCAGTTTTCTAATTCTTTTTCTATCAATTTCCTCTCCAACTCTGCCCATTAAGTTATTGATTATACCCTATATAAAAATGCACAGTCATTTATCCTGTTTATAATCATTTCAGTGACTTTTTATTTAAATTTCAACAAGTTTTCAAGAATATTTATTTCAAATTTGTAAATATAATTTAAACAAATTAATCTGAAAAAATTTAATACAGATGTTTTTATTTCATACACATTTACTTATGTAACATTTTTGTATTCTTCATTTCTTTCAAATCAGAAATGAATGATTATTGAATGTAAATTGTGGACAAAGATTTTTTTTTCAGCGAGTTAAGTATAAAGCATTTATTTCTTTACCTCTACTATTTGTTCATCTTTAACATGGCAAGTTTTGTCAAGTTTCAGAATTTTAGATTTTTCATCTTTTCCCTGTAATTAATCATCATTATAGAATTGAACAATGAAGAAAGTTTTAAAATCATCTATCCTACAGCTGTTAAAAATTGATCTGTTGTGCAAAGAAAAGAAAAAAAGCAATATAGATATTTTTGTTCTTACTGTCAAATCATTGACGAAATCATGAGAATCATCCAGATTTTTCTTCATTTTACATTGCCTTTCAGCTCTGCCCAGTATGGCATCAGCCATATTCTTAAAAAGATAAAAAGACTATTTTATTATTATAAGTTAAAACTTTTCCTATCCTAACATCACATAGAATAGACATATAAGTATATTGATAGTAATGTCATTCAGATTTACCTTGTCATTGTTCCTGCTTTTGTGGTATTTACTTTCTTGTTTTGTCTCAGTAAGTTCTTTCAGATTTGCATGATCAGCAACCTCAGGGGGATAAGACACACTCAGGACAATAGGCACTTTCAACTATAAAAAACAATATGGCGGATTGAGATACATATATTATGCATATTATATCAATGATCATCCATTTCTCATTATGTTTACTTCAATTTATACAGTAATGTGTAACGTGTTGCCTTTAAGTTAAAAAATTGCAATTCCAGGAGATGATTTTTGCATGGATCTAATACTTTATTTCTTTATGAGCATTTTCAAAATGCAAAAGATCTAACTTGCCAAAAATTGTCACAAATGCTGTAGTTTATCAGGAATTAAAGGTATGTTGTCTTAATTCAAACTTTTCCATAACAGTAATTTTGATTTCTAAATTTTTTCCAAATTTCTAGATTCAAAAAACAAATTTGGACGTTATGGAATGTACCAAGAGTATCTCATTTAAGACGAGAGAGTACCTTTAATTCTTCCAGAACTTTCATCATTAATGTTTTCATTCTTTTTCTTTCAATTTCCTCTTCCGTTCTCTCCAGTAAATTGTCAATTATATCCTACAGAAAAATACACATTTGTCTTCTTTATTAACATCCATGTTCAAATTTGAGCGCGCATATTGTAATCATTTAATTTACATAGGTGACTTAATTTAAATTTCAACAAGTTTTGAAGAAGCTTTAATTATACAGATTCAAATAAAATACTTTTATATGCATGTTTTCATTTCGTACCCATTTACATTTGTATCATTTTTTTTCCTCATCTCACACTACTAGTAAGCAAAACTGAATGATTATTGGATGTCAATTGTGGACATATAATATTTTCAGTGAGTTGGATACAAAGTTGTTTTTTCTTCAAATTTACCTTAACCTTCTCCTCATCATCAACTCTCCAAGCTTTTTCAAATTTCATAGATATTTTATCGCTCTCCTGAAATGAATCACCATCGTGCGATTATGGAGAAATTCAAGAAAGTTTAAAACATCATCTATCAAACTACTGTTAGAAACTGATCTGTTGCAAAGAAAAGAAAAAAAAATGAAGAAAAAAAAAACATTTTAAATAGTTTTGTTCTTGGCATCAGATTATCCAGAGATTTCTTTGTATTGCATTGCATTTCAACTCTGTCAAGAAGGTCATTAATGATATCCTAAAAATATAAAAGAAGTTTGATATAAATTGAAACTTTTCTAATCTTGGCATTACGTACAGGTTCCATAGAAATTTGCTGGATGAAGCAACAATTCAATTTTAGAAAATCAATTGAATTTCTTTTTTTATTACTTATAGATTTTCAGGGTATTAGACAAGATATTAAAAGGATTCTACAGTTTCTTATTGACAACAATCATTTTTCCAACAAACTGTTGGAATTCTAATGGAAATTGTGTTCCTTTATTAGTTGACTTGTCTTTTAAAACCTAATGAAACAGAATTCATTCAAAAACTTCCACACGAGAAGAGGAAAATACTAGCTGTAGCCTTCAATGCGACAATCAGATATAACAAATAACAATAGTTATTTTTATTGTATAGTGTATTGTGTTTTTTTTTTTTTTGTATTGTGATTTTTTGAGATCGATCATTTCATCTTTTCACATGCAAATATCTATTTAATTATAACTCCTTCGCTCAGAGACTCTTCTGTTTTGTTTTTGTTGTGCTTTTTGTGAATGAATTTATATACCTGACAGGTTCCCAAATCTTCAACAAACAAACAAGGTTCATCAAGTTTTATCTTCAGGTGTTTGGTTTCAATGTTTTCCTGAATCAGAATGAAAATAAGTATTTGGTATATAAATTAATTTAATGCATATAATCATCTCATATTTTTTGTGTGTGATTTTTACCCCTTCTCCCCTCCTTTCCCCCTCCTCGACCGTGAGCTTGGGAATAATAACAACAGGATAATAACCGGATCTTCAATATGTCACTTTTTTACTATAAAGCAAGGCGGAGTATTAAATATTAATAAAATCATATACTGTAGGTTTCAGAAATTTAAAATCTAGAAGACTTTGAGCAAATACTCATTTGTAATAACCGCCGCTTTGATGTGAATATACACAAGGTTAGTTACGGACAGACACGTGGATAACCATATTCTCTTTAAATAATCAGACAAGCTTTCTACCAAATTTTCTAAAAAGAATGGGGTAAACAAAAAGTTGAGATAAGGTTAGATTTTGACAAAAAATAATCTTCCTCTTTAGGCATGCCTAAGTGAGCTTTAATGTCAATTAAGCATCTGCAATGAGAAATTTCTGAGAAAACAAGACCCCCCAAAATTTGTTACAGACGGATGCACAAGGGTAAAACAGTATACCCCCTCATCGACGGAGAAGGGGTAGCAAAATCAGTATTTTTAGTAAATATTTTCTTAGAATAATTCATGAAACTGGCATGAGGACCCGCTCTAAAAATAAAAAAAAATAAGCGAAAGCTAAATAGTTTTCATTAGGCATGTTATTTTTATAACCTTGGCTTTATCCAAATCATCCAATGTCTCCTTGATGCTGTTTTCTTGTTCAACTATGTCAAGTATTTCTCCTAAGACCATCTACAATAGAAAGGAATTAATTACTCAGTAACTGTGCAATCAATAATTTTCTATCTTTTTTCTATCTTCTAGTTTTTCTGTTTTATGACTTTTTCTATTTTTATTTCCCACTTATTAAGACTTTTGTTTTCCATGTTTTAAAAAAAAAAAATTGTGAATGAAAATTATTTACCTGACATATCTCCAAATTTTCAACAAACAACCCAGATTTTTCAGCTTTCATGTTAAGGTAATAAGTTTCCATGTTTCCATTTTCCTGAATCAAAATAAAATAATATACAAGTAATTTTAATGAATGGCCACCTGACACTTTTTGTGTTTGTGAATTTTGACCCCCTCCTCAACTGCCAGCTTGGGATAGTGACGTTTTTTTTCTTTTAAGCAAATGCCATTATTGCTAATATATATATTTCATAGATAATTATGGGCAATAATTTATATTCAATAAATTCATATGAAACATAATAGATTCTAAAATTACAATTAATTTTTTTTAATTTCTTTTGGACTTGAGTATATTAACGGAATACAAAATTCATTCATTTTCATATTTATTTATATTTTTTTAATCGGAAGATAAACTGGTGAAAATAATTACTTCAAATATATTGTTTTTTACCTGTAATCTTTCGTTTTCTTCACCCACGGCACATCCAGGTTTGTCGATTTTCAGAACCTCCAATATTTCATTTCTTACCTACATGTATGAAGCAAGTTGGAATATTTTATATTAATTAAAATCATATACATCAGGTTTTAGGAAATTTACAATATAGAATACTGTGAGTTAATTCTTATAAGTTATAACCGCCTGATATCAATATACACAAGGTCAGTTAATGACAGACACGTGGATAACCATATTCTCTTTTAATAATTTAAACTTTCTGTCAAATTCTCTAAAGAGAATGGGATAAACAGCAAGTTGAGTTTAGATTAGATTTAGACAAAAATGACCTTCGTGTTTAGGCATTACTAAACAAAGAGTGAGCTAAAATGTCAATTAACCATCTGCAATGAGAAATTGCTAAGAGAAAAAGACTCCAAAAATTTGTTATAGACGGATGTACAAGGGTAAAACAGTACATCCCCCTCCCCGTCGGAAAAGAGGTAGAAAAATCTACTAATTTTAATAAATACCTTTTTAGAATAATTCTAGAAACTAGCATGAGACCCCTCTAAAATAAAATTAAGCACTGCCAGATAGCTAAATAATTTTCATTTGGGATATTATTTGTATAACCTTGGCTGAAGTCAAACCATCCATTGTCTCCTTGGTGCTGTACATGTTCTCCTCTTCAACTCTGTCAAGTATTTCTCCCAAGACCATCTACGATAGAAAGGAATTTTAACTCATCAAACTGTTCAATCAGTAATATTCGTTAGAGTTTTTCAATTTTTATTTCCCACTTATTAAGACTTTTGATTTTTTATTATTTTTATTTACCTGACACATCTCAAAATCTTCAACAAAGAAGCAAGATTCATCAAGTTTCATGTTAAGGTGTTTGTTTTCCATGTTTTCCTGAACCACAATGAAATAATATACAATTAATTTTAAGGAATATAGCCATATGGTACTTTTTGTATAAATTTTTACCCCCCCCCCCCTCAACCGCGAGCTTGGAAATGTGACGTTTATTGGACTTGATTATATATACTGGGAAAAAAAATTATTTTCATTTTTTTTTTTTTGAATCGGAAGAAAAATATGTGAAAAATAATTACTTTTGCTAAATTGTTATATACCTGTAACCTTTCGTCTTCTTCCCCCACGGCACACAAAGATTTGTCGATTTTCAAAATCTTCAATATTTCATTTCGTTGCTATAAGGCAAGTTGGAGTCTTTCATATTAAAAAAATCATACAGGTTTCAAGAAATTTAAAATCTAGAGGACTGTCAGTAAATACTCATTATTTATAACCGCCGCTCTGATGTGAACATACATAAATTCAGTTACGGACAGACACGAGGATAACCATATTCTCTTTAAATAATTGAACAACCTTTCTGCCCAATTCTCTAAAAAGAATGGGATAAACCAAAGTTAAGACTAGATTAGATTTAATAAAAATGATCTTCATGTTTAGGCATGCCTAAACAAAGAGTGAGCTAAAATGTTAATTAAGCATAAAACAGTTTGGAGTATTCAATATTCAAAAAATAATATAGGGTTCAGGAAATTTAAAATCTAGGAGTGTGAGCAAATACTCATTTATTTTAGTTAAAACCGCCCCTCTGATGTGAACATACACAAGTTCAGTTACGGATAAACAGTGGGATAACAATATTCTCTTTAAATAATTGAACAAACTTTCTGCCAAAATCTCTAAAGAGAATGGGATAAACAGAAAGTTAAGATTAGATAAGATTTTCACAAAAATGGCCTTTGTGTTTAGGCATGCCTAAAGAAAGAGTTAGCTTAAATGTCTATTAACCATCTGCGATGAGAAATTGCAGAGAAAAAAAAAAGATCCCCAAAAATTTGTTATAGATGGATACACAAGGGTAAAACAGTATACCCCCCTCTCTGCTGAAAATGGGTATAAAATCTATTATTTTTACTGAATACATTTTTAGAATAATTCTAGCAACTACCATGAGACCTCCCTCTAAAACAAATCAAGCAGATAGGATAATAATCATTTGGCATGTTATTTTTATAACCTTGGCTGTATCCAAATCATCAAATATCTCCTTAGTGCTGTTCTCTTCAACTCTGTCAAGTATTTCTCCCAAGACCATCTACAATAAAAATGAATTAATAAACTCATCAAACTGTTCATTAAGTAATTTTCGTTGGAGTTTTTCTATTTTTATTTTCCACTTAATAAGACTTGTTTTATAAATTTTTAAAAAATTTTTGTGAATGAAATTATTAACCTGACACATCTCCAAATCTTCAACAAACAACCTAGGTTTGTCAAGTTTCATGTTCAGGTGTTTGGTTTCCATATTTTCCTGAATCAAAATGAAACAATATACAAATCATTTTAATGAAAATAGCCATTTGGTACTTTTTGTGTGTAAATTTCTACTCAACCGCGAGCTTGTAACTGTGATGTTATACCTTTAAACAAACTGTTATTTCAGAAGTATTGTGATGTTTATCCCTTTTAGAAATTGCAATTTTTGCTAAAATATCATTCCGTAGCTTATTACGGATAATAATTTAAATACAGTAATTTTATACGAAATCTTTTATTTTCATTGTGAGTCTGACAAAAAATATATGTGGAAAATGATAACTGGATTTATTGTTTTGCTAAATTGTTTTGTACCTGTATCCTTTTGTCTTCTTCCACAACGGCACACCAAGGTGTGTCGACTTTCAAGATCTTCAATATTTCATTTCTTTGCTATAAAACAAGTTGGAGTATTTAATAAAATCATATAGGTTTAAGGAAATTAAAATCTAGGAGTGTGAGCAAATACTCATTAGTTATAACCGCCGCTATCAAGTGAATATACACAAGTTCAGTTACGGACAGACACGTGGATAACTAAATTCTCTTTAAATAATTAAAAAAAAACTTCCTGCCAAAAATTCTAAAGACAATGGGATAAACAGAACGTTAAGATTAGATTATATTTCTACAAAAATGACCTTCATGTTTAGGCATGCCTAAACAAAGAGTGAGCTAAAATGTGAATTAAGCATCTGCGATGAGAAATTACTGAGGAAAATAGACACCAAAAAATTGATACAGACGGATGCACAAGGGTAAAACAGTATACCCCCTTCTCCGTTGAAGAAGGGGTGTAAATATCTATTATTTTTCACTGAATACTTGCTTAGAATAATTTTGGAAACTAGTTTGAGACCCCCTCTGAAATAAAATTAAGCAGATAGGTAAATAATTTTCATTTGACATGTTATTTTTATAACCTTGGCTGTATCCATATCATCCAATGTCTCCTTGGTGCTGTTCTCTTGTTCAACTCTGTCAAGTATTTCTCCTAAGACCATCTACAATAGAAATAAATTAATAAACTCATCAAACTGTTCAGTCAGCAATTTTTGTTGTGGAGTTTTTTCTATTTTTATTTCCTTCTTATTCACATTTGTTTTATAATTTAATATTTATAAAAATCTTTTTTTTGTAAATGAAATTATTTACCTGACACATCTCCAAATCTTCAACAAACAACCCAGGTTTGTCAAGCTTCATGTTCAGGTGTTGGGTTTCCATGTTTTCCTGAATCAAAATGTAATAATAAGTATTAAGTTTCCCAAATATAGCCACCCCATATTTTTGGTGTGTGAATTTTTACCCTTTCCCTCTCTCAACCGCGATCAACTGTAATTTCAAAAATATCGTGACATTTATCCCTTTTAGAAAATACTTTCATTGCTACTACCGGGTATTTCTTTTATAGGTAATTATGGGTAATACTACCAAAACGGTATTCATATAATATGTACCGAGTAATTGAATCTGACATGCTGAAAGTAAAACAAAAAATCTTTATATTACTGACTTAATACTGCAAAATATTCATTTAAATCTGAGGAGAAACATACGGAACAAGAGGTCCATGGGCCATAACGCTCACCTGAGTAACTTTGGAATGAAAGAGTCCCCCAGCCCCCTTTTACAACCCTCACCCCTCCATCCCATGAGAGTAAAGTCAAGAAGATGACAAATAATTTTCAATTAACATTTTATTTTTATAACTAGTACCTTGGCTCTAGCCATCAAATTATCCAATATCTTCTTTGTGCTTAACTCCTCTTCAACTCTGTCGACTATGTCCTCAAATACCATCTACAGTAGAGGTGATAAAATAAGATCGGTGCATGGTCGTACAAATATATATTTAATTCAGAAATATTGTTATGCCGCCCTTTATTCTTTCTTTTCAATACAACGAGAGATAAGATTCTAGTAATCAGTAAAATCTGTCTACATTTATCCCCCCCCCCTTCTATCCAGGAAAATTCCACGACTCTTGTGTCAAATATTTTTTTTTCAATAAGTACATTTTTTCTACACTATAATTATAAATTTTTATTCTATTCTATTGCAAGAAAAACAACTACCTGAGACATCTCCAGATCCTCCGCGAACAACCATGGTTTATCAGAATTGGATTTGGCTTCCATTTTGTTCTAAGAAAGGAAGAATTTGACGTATGTTGTTAAAAGAAATAAATAAAAGACAATAAGCTTTTACCCCCTTGCCCTCAGTCATCAAAAAAAATAAAAGACAATAAGCTTTTACCCCCTTGCCCTCAGTCATCAAAAAAAAAGAAGAGACAAAATATAGTAACCAACTGCAAACTGTAAGCAACACTTACAAATTACAAGTAATCTATTGGCCTTCACAGCAGTTTTACAAACTGTAATTGTGACGTCATAAGTATTGTGACGTCAGTCTTGACATGCTGTCATTGCTAACTCGTCTGAACCCAAGGGTTTACACTCTCATGGGTTCCGACGACATCATAATTGCAATAATATGAATAAATTCTGATGTTTTAAAACTAAAAATAAAAACGTTTTGTTTTCTGCACTGTATATTATTTTTTAAATCCATACATGTTGCAATTTTTGACAATAAAATTAAAAAAGAACAGTCTATTGATGTAAATAAAGATAACTTCTACTAGAGTATAGTTGATTTAAATCAATCGAATTTCAAATATATCAAAATTAAGATGCAATAATCGAATAATTAAATATTAGACAACATTTAAAGTAAATTCAATTATAGAAGTGCGAGGCTTCTTAAAGTTGAAAACTGGTGAAAATTTTAATTTGATTGCTCTGACATTAAATTCAGCACTTATATTCAAGCTTTAGACTGGTTATGTAGGAAGAATGCAACGATAAACCGTTTGACAGTATACCGCGGTTTATTTTTCCACGGTTCGGTTCACGATACCTCAAACTGAACGTACTAAATAAATAGTTGTTTTTAAAGCAATTAATGTACTGCTTTGTAGCAACCGACAATGATAAAAGACCGCTTAAATTTACTGAAATATTTATTACCAAGCGTTGCAACTGCAACAGTTCATTACATAAATAGTTGCAATCTCAACTACATGTACTAATGCTAAATCGCCGCTTATATAGAAAGGATAATATAGTTAAGCGGTTGAGAATGTAAACTATTAATGCAATAATTTATTTATGACAATATAAGTGTTGCACTACATGTCTATGAAAATAAATGAACAAATTTTAACATACCAATTTTTTGTTATTCCTCTTCACAGCGCAAGTAAAACTAGTAATTGTGACGTCATAGGTATATGTATTGTGACGTTTGTCTATTTATGACGTGTAATTACATACATATTCTTACAAAATGGAAGTATGTACATGAATCATATATTCCTAATGTATTAAGATATAAATAACACGAATTTCTAACACTGGAAGAATATGTTACACAAAAAATTAAAACATAAAAATAACACTGAGAAAATAATGAATTCAGTGACATAATTATAATTATTTTATTTTAAAAAAAAATTTCGGAAAAAAATATTTAAAATATCAACGTAAATGATAAATTTATAGATTCTAATACCATGGTCCGAATTTATCAGAATCAGAGTTAACCTGACACCACCGAATGTAAACAAACAGGCCAGTCTGGTTCCCTCCCCTGCTTTTCTCCGTCTTTGTAGAGAAAGAGGCTACAATAACACTGATCATCAGAAAACCTTACTCAAATGAACGATGTTGTTTGACTTACGACTGAAATTTTTAAAGTCATTACTTCTGATGTTTATTTGTATCAATAAAACTTCTTTTATGTTTATTGCTTTATTTAGTGTTTATATTATCTCAAAAGAGGTTGTTAGTAGGTAATATATTTTTACACGTAACTTTAATATGGCGACCATGAGGTGAACTTCCCGTTTTGAACAAGCTGTCAAAAGCCGGCAATTGCTCTATGAACAATAAGCCCTGATAATAGCAGTTGGCACTTGAAACTTTACAACAGCAATAAATAGGAATACTGATCCTTGATTAAGTCTCTTTTTGTTGCAAGATTGCATTAAGACTACAACTGTGGGAGTATATGGCACGCCGATTGGTTCAAAACTATTTTCTGCACGACCTTAAACAAAAATTACACGAGCAAGTCAAAACTTACACAAAGTGAGGAAAATATACACAAAGTTATTGAAATTTACACAAACTATACAAAAACTACACAATCAACAAAATATTTACACGATATAACGAGAAAGTTACACAAACGTAAAAAAGAAAACTGCACGAGTGAGAATACAACATCGACATAATATACGACGCATCCTCATTGTGCACATTTCATTAATATTCATTAGAGAACAGCTCAGTGTGGCTTGGATGCTTGAAACATATAAAACAAGAGGATAAATTTGTTAACAATATGTATCCTTTGAAAAAGATTCAGTGTTTTAGAATTACACTAGTCTCTCAAGAATATGCACAACGTGGTTTATACATGTAAAAACTGACAGGCACGCAATATGCATATAAATTAACACCCCCGATGATAAACATTTTACACATGTATACATGTAGATAATGTAAAAAGGGGGAGGAATATATCCAGTTGCGTGTTTAATTGTTAGATTTTTCCATTGTGTCATTCCTCTATATCGCGATTTCTTTTGAAAGTTCAAAACAATGATATTATCATAGTAAAGGTGAGTAAATAAAAACAGCACGTGATGTAATAAAGGAGATTTATTAACAAATCAAACTCTTCTCCTCCACCACCCACTGTGTGTACTTATGGTAATAATTAAGGATGTGGATGCGTGACCTTTTCATATCGAGAGATTCCCCCCTGGTGGTGCTGGAATGAAAGACACCTGTATGCTAATCGATTTATAGTTATTTGACACATCAATAATACCTTTTGATTGAACTTGAAGGTCACTAGCAATTCATACAGAGATGCTGTCATCTGGGTTGTGGAATTTGCACAATACATTTTAAGAAGTACTAAACAGTAAAAAAAAAACGAGCAAATACTTGCGCAACTTTAATTTTAATATTGAAACGAATATATCATTAATCTGAAATAAATATGAATGTGAAAAAGTAGTACATGTATGTAGTATTACATTTTGAACAAAGTGTGGTGATTATATAAATACATGTATCCACGAAAATGCATTAATATTATACAGTCGTTTTACTAATGTGAATTTAAGCTTTTCTGTTTTTATACTGTAGATTATTTTGAATAGGTAAAATGCATATAAAGGAGTTAATTTAAAATTATAATATGTAGATACATATGTAGTATTGCTTTTGAAAGTAAGGGGGTGCCAGATTACCTCAAGGTGGAATGCCACACCAACTTTTTATTTTATAGATCTTTGAGTCATCCTTTTAAAACAATGGTTTCAGCTCTAAATCATTTTATATGATTTTTTTTTTTGTATTTTTTCAAAGAAAATAAAAATAAAATTATTTATATCCAAATAAGTTATTTTCGAGTTAAAAGTTTGCTGTTTATGAATGCATCATATGAATATCTAATAAAATATGTAAGGAAAGGCTGGTAAGACTTTAATTTTATTTATAAAAAAATATTTATGTAAATAAAACACATTATTCGTGGACATTTTTTAAACGTATGGTTAAAAACACCATAAAACTAGTCACAACTGAGGACAACATGTTTGTCAATCATTTAAAAAAAAAATCAAACGAAATTGAGAAATTTTAAGAGAAATTAATTTTTTTAATATTTGGACCTAACCCGATCAAAGTTAAACTGATCCCGATCAAAATTAACACAAAATGAATAAAATGCTTATTTATTGCCTCTTCATATATTAACAATAAAGAAATCTAATTTATTGTCAAGTTCAATAATAATTTAACCCTTATTACACCTAATCAGACTAGTGTTTTTGAGAAAATGTTATTTATTTCCAATAATTACACTGTATACAATTATGGTTGGGATCGGTTTAATTTTGATCGGGATTGGCCAAAATTAAAAAAAAATCAATTTCTCTAAAATCTGGCTATTTCATTTCAATTTCTTTTATAAATATGATTAATGAACATGTTCTCCCCAGTTGTGAATGGTTTTAAGAAAATTTTAACCACAACTTTAAAAAATATTCACAAATTATGTGTTTTATTTTCATAAATAATTTTCTATTTAAAAATGTTTAATATCTTTACGGCTTTTCTTTGCTAATTGACAAGCAAAACAAGATAAAGTGTCCAATCTCGCAAATCCTACTCCGATGAGGTAGTGAGGGGCCTTCAATTCCAATCCAACAACAAAAAGGGGGCTTTTCAGTGAACATTTTACAATGGAAGAAGGTTCTGTTCGCAAAAAAAAAATAATAATAATAAAATAAAAATTCCTGATGCTTCGTGCCTGAAATATTTTCTAAGAATTCAAGGGTACAAGAAGCAGTCGATCGAAATGAGGATTGCAATACAACTTCAAACTATATATCAATATCCCCGGATTTGCATGCGCTTGACCTAACAACAGTTAAAAATTGGGGGTTGGGGTCAACCTGCATGTAAAGAAAAAATTACTTTAGCAAAATCTATACTTGAAAATAAAGGGGGGTGTCTACAGGCCTGACTGAGGATTCATTTTGTTTCATAAAAAATATAATCATGTTCTCTTTTTTATTATGGAAATATATAGGATGAAAAAGTAATCTTACAAGGAACTTAGTGTTTGGAGAATAATTTTAAAAATTCATGAAGCCGGATTCGAAATGTAAACAGAAACATCGAGCTCAATAAAGAATATGAATTATCTGTATTTTTCAAGAGTGAAAAACGCTTTTTATGACACTGCTGTATCCATTTCAATTTTTTATTGCATCCTATTTGTAACATTGTACATGTACGTACATGTATAGATAAACGTAGTAAATCACACTGTTTTTTAAAGTAACAATTAATACATAAAAGCGCATGACTGTACATAAAGCACAGAGTATGTTTATTCTCCCTTTACCTGGTCCTTTTTATTAAAATGAGAACAAGTAATCGCCATTACGAATGAGGGTAACGCTGACAAGAAATGTCTTGTTTTTATTGAGTAGTTTATAACTGAAAATTATGTGATATCATAGAAGGAATTCATAACTATGGTGGCATATTTCTGCCCCTTGTGTGCAAGTTATTTTTCTATCAAATATGTCGACATGCAAGATAGATACACTGTATGTTGACATGCAACATAGCTACGTCAACATGCAACATAAATATGTTGACATGCAAGAAAATTGCAATGAAATAAAAATTATAAAACAATCTTCAAAAATCTCAAATATTGCCCACCTGTGACATCCAACATACTAAATGCTACTTATTTATGTTAACATGCAAGATAAATAAGTTGACATGTAACTTAGATATGTTAACATGCAACTTATTTATGTTGACATGCAACTTATTTATGTCGACATGCAACTTAGATATGTTAACATGCAACTTATTTAAGTTGACATGCAACTTATTTATTTTGACATGCAACTTATTTATTTTGACATGCAACTTGGTTATGTTGACATGCGAGATAAATATGTTGACATGCAACTTATAAGTTGCATGTTGACATAAATATGTCGCATGTTGACATAATTTAGTTGCATGTTGACATATTTATCTTGCATGTCAACATAACTAAGTTTCATGTCAACATAACTAAGCTGCATGTCAACATAAATAAGTTGCATGTCAACATAAATAAGTTGCATGTCAACATATTTATCTTGCACGCTAACATAGATAAGAAGCATCTAGCATGTTGGATGTCACATGTGGGCGATATTTGAGATTTTTTATGATATTTATTTGATTGCAATTTTCTTGCATGTCAACATATTTATGTTGCATGTTGACATAACTATCTTGCATGTCAACATGTTTATCTTGCATGTCGACATATTTGATAGAAAAATAACTTGCACACAAGGGGCAGAAATATGCCACCATACATAACAAAAGAATCTAAAGAGCTCCAACCAAAGCTGATATCCTGATATTTTATAAGTATGAATGCAGGTGTTTTTTAGAATAAAATATTTTTTATGTGTTTTAAGTTAGATCTAAATATATGCTGTTTACATCAAAGGTAATCCCAACTTCTTAAGTTTAAAAAAAATATGTATCCATTCCAGCCAAATGAATATATATATAATTTCCTATTTGGAATGGTAAAATATATATATATATATATATATAATAGGTACAAATGAAAAGTACTAAATTATTTCTACAGCTTAATGATAATAATAAGCAATAATTCTGCGAATTTCATGAAGAATCAACTTTATTAATAGTTTAATTATGCAAGTGTTAATTTTATATTTATACTAGTAATTTCCGTTAAAGTTGTATCTATAAATTAGAAATTTTCAAAAGCTATTGAGAGTTTATTTAAATTAAAAAAAACAAAACAAAATAATTCTAACATTTTTTTTTTTTTTACAAAATCAAGATCCTAGTCAGCCGTTCTGTTTATCGTTAGGTACTTTTAGTTCGGAGTCGAGTGCATCATATGCAATGGGGTTTTTTTTTTTACCCTGCATTATACGATTCCTTCTCGTCACAATTTTTGTCTGGCATCAAATAATACCTCCATATATTGGTTCGGATCTTGGTCAATATAAGAAAATCATAATATTGTAGAAAAACTTTGAAGTATTCTCACAAATAGATCACATGGAAACACTTGAAACATTTGTTCGATCGGTAATAGCTAGAAATCGGATTGAGTTTTAACAAGAAATAAAGAAGCAAAGTAAAACACATGCCATCGTCAACGCCATTTTCCATTTCTCGATTACATCCAGCTAAGCATACAGGAAGAGATAAAGAGTACAGAAAACCAAGAACACAATGAATATTCTATGTGCATAATAATGACATGCGCAGCTGTATGCGCAGTAAAATTGTTTGTGTAATTTTTAGTTTGGCTGTTTAAAATTAAAACTACGTTTAACGTCACCCGCGCGCGTAGGTTTATGAGAAATTCGTCTTTGAAAAAAACAAACAATTCGGAATTCCGTATGTCCGTTCCGGTTTGGTTCTTCAATTAGCGACTGAATTCTGCTTCCCGTAGTGACAGAAAATGTGCTTTGACTGCCGGCGAGTGCCGCAGTTAAGGCAGTTGGTGTCTTATTAATGAAAACTAGAGAATTAAAGACTTTGGGACCATAAATGTAAGTAAAAAATAGATTATTTTATGATTATATTAATGACAAAGTCTTGTTTGTTGATTTTTTTTTTGTCAGTCTTCGAATCATATGTACAGACTGACAGTGACAGACTCTCAGTTCGTGATTCTATTGGCTGAACTTTTCATTGTATTTTGGAGAGAATCGAAAACTTTTTTTTACTGAGTGGAAACTGTGTCAAAAACCAAGATTTATATACAGTGAAAAGCATCATTTAAATCTTACTGATATGTTTCATATTAAAAATATTTCTGTAAAAATCGAAAGGAACAGTAATGAGTAAAGTAATTGATTTCTTCATAATTTAATATGTACCTACAAATAGCTACAATTTTTGGGAAGGATAATATACTTGTCATAACCATTTGATCAGGGAGAAGCTCACCGAAGATAGGGCCTTTTAAGTGAAGGAGAGTAAGGAAAGTGGTTGGGGTATTCCAAGATGTGAAGAATCCTGTCTTTTGTGTGGAATTCAAGGTATTAAATAAAGATAATCTAACAGCTATCAGTATGGTCCAAATATTAGTATTCACACTTTCAAAACTTAATGCTAGTAAATCTAGTACTAACTAAGAAAAAATACAACATCATTCAATTTGAGGATATTTCAACATGAACACTTTTAAATATTGTCATCAATAATTTTGATTGTAGATATTGATCAACTTTTCCCACAAGAAGAAGCATTTGCCTCCAGGGTACCATGGACGTGTGGCAATATAAATCCAAAGGACAACTGAGGCCTAGTTAAAAGCCACTTTCCTGAACATTCAGTTTTAGACTACATTGTTTGCTAACAATAGGACTCAAACTGATTTACATACTAAGGAAAAACTCTGCTAGGGAAATTAATCTTAGGTGTCATATCAATTAAATGCTCTTATTACTTAATTGTAATGTTTTTAATGTACTGAATAGGTTAATTTGAATAAATTCACAATTGTTTGAAAATTTTGTTTGTTTATTTTTTTCCTCCCTCCCTCGTAGGTTTTGAACTTTAGATGTGACGTTAAACGTAGAATTAACTTTAAACAGCCTTAATTCCTCTGCTCGTGCAATTTTTGTTTTTTGTTTGTGCATATTACACCCCTCAATCGTGAAAAAAATTTCGGATTCGTGTATTTTTCGTTATTTTTACTCAAGCCCTAGAGGGGCTTGAGTTATCTAAAACGATGCTAGGTCATCGAATTACTCAGTTTAAAATTTCAAAAATATATCATTTTTGTAGATAAAAATATTTATAGAAACAAAAATGAAGCTTATCTTGAAAACGTCTGTATATTCAAAGATATTAAGTGTTAAATAGCGGATTATTTTCTATGGCGAATGAACAATGAGTGAAGCGTCGCAGCCGCAACAGTTTCTATACAGAGACTTCACGCTTTCCTTTGCGTATGAATCTCAGGTAACTTTTTACAGTCGCCGACAAAGCATCCTTGGACGAGTCCACTGCAGACTCTGAAAGGTGACGCAGGTTACCCCTTCGTTAACAAATTCTACAATGCATGGCCAGAAAATGTATGGCTGTACCCCCCAACTGAAAATGCTTTTCACGGGCCTGCAAATGAAGTGTAATTTGAGAGACAGTAAAGTAAAAGCACAAAATCAATGTTAAATTCTCGTATTAAGCTTTGGTACCGGAAATTATATACTTCTTTTGGTTCGTACCGAATATGCATTGGACATGCCGCTCAGATAGATGAACCCCATCGTCTCAAGCCACGGTCCGCAGTAGGAGAGGATCGTACATTTTGTCCGTTGTTTGCAACGATGGATGAACCCGTAGTCACGTGGATTTTTTGGAGCCTGGAGCCCCCCCCCCCCTTTTTCACTTTTAAAAACTTTTCTACAGGCTTTTAGCAAGCTATCTTAATTGATGTATGTATTGAATGAGATGTACGTCATTAGGCAAACAATACAAAAACGTATATAGTTTGAATACATGTATACTAAATGTCTACATAAAAAATATTTCATTAAGAAACGGAAACGTTACTATGCTCTATAAAATATTCCTGAAAGTGTGTCACGTAAATTCATCTTAAAAAGTAATTAAGTACGATTAATAATTTTTTTTCTAATAAAATTCAATATATGAATGTTGTTTCATGTATACAGTCATGTAGTTTATTCAACAGAGGATTGAACTCAATATATAGCCCTCATCTTAAAACCATTTTAGGATATAATGATTCTTCTTAATTGACTTTCTACAGCTTGAGTATTTCTGACGTTTTGTCAGTATATACTTGTTGTGTTAAAATCTTTCAAACTATGTGCAATTTTTACTTATACGTGCATTTTTATTTTACTCTTGTATATTTTTCATCTAGCTCGTGTATAAAATCTTTATCTTTGTGCAGAAAATAGTTTTGAACCAATCGGCGTGCCATAGGAGTAGCTTTTAATAAATTTTACAGAATTTTCAATTTTAATTTTTATGGCAGTATCATTCATCAAAATAAAAACAAAAAAGACAATGATGTATCTCAAGGTAGTCTACTTGCATGCGACATCATATTGTAATCAGGCTAAAACCGTATAAGGAGTAGTATTTCACAGAAATTTCAGTTTTAGTCAACATGGCAACACCGTTCATCGTGATTGAAATCAAAAACTGATTTACAGATTTATGTATCTTAGTGTAGTCTACTTGTAAGCCAACTTAGTGAAGGTATAGTGAAATCACACCAAAACTGTAGGAGGAGTAGCATTTTGAAAGTAATTCAAAGTTTGAAAGTATCTAAATTCATGAAATGCACTTATATTCAGATAAACTTACTATAAGGTTTTTTCTGGTTAAGGATAGTCATCATTAAAGGGCATACGCAACGTAGTTTGAACCATATTGGCTTCTTCTCTGGAGTTGAAGAGTTCACTTTATGAAGGACTTGTGTACAATATACTGTTAATGTTTATATATGTTTTGTTATCTGTTCAAGACCCCTGGTAACACACGCTGATTTTTTTGTCTAAGGGGATGTAATGGTGCTATAATTTGAAATTTGATATATATCTCGAAAAATTATTGTTAGGTATAAAGGTACTTAGGTATGTCTTAATCTTTACTGAACGCACTCCATAAAAACTAGTTAATATTTTTTTATCATATAACGGAAGTATTAACAATTAACTTACGGGGTATAATAATTGTGCATGTAATTTGAATCTACACATGTATTAACTAAGGTTGAATAAAAAATGTTTAAAAACTCAATAAAGGTATCACTACTAGAGTAGACGAAAATGCCCATCAAATGCGCTATGGCTCTTTACACACAAACTCTCAAACGCCATGCAAAAATACAGTTAGCGTCGCTCTTCTTCTGAGATTTGCAAATAAAAACATGTACATGATACTAGACTAATTTAATAATAACACTATACATGTGAAATGTCAATTCAGATTATTCGCTCCGAGTTTGAGAATATTCTTTAGAACTGCAATGATCTACCTATACTCCATCTAGCAAAATTAATTCATGTTAAAAGTTTTAATGAATTATGCAAAGTATAAATTGGCCTGGAAGTAATGAAAAAAAATGAAAAAAAAAATTCAGTTGATCTCTCTTTATCTCTATCTTTCTCTCTCGATCTCCCTCTCATGCTTTCTTTTTGTAAAATTATGAAAAAAAAATTAAACCAAAAAAAAAAAATGTCATCTTTATCCAAATCTTGTTGTTGTTGTTGCATGTACTCGGGACGTTACCATCCACTTCACTGGACGCCGTTAATGAATCATCGTTTGTTTATATAATTACATGTACCACGGTGTATCCAAGTCTTTGCTGATGCTGGAATACATATCAGACAAGCAGATATTTTCAGCTGTGCTAGTAAATCAGAGAATTGTTGCTGACCCTGGTAATGAAGAAGAAACATGTAAGTACAGAAAACTAAAATATATTTTAAGTATTGTAATCTGATATTTAATTTACGCTGTTTAGTGCTTGTATGTTTTGTATTAAGTAATAAAATATTATTGTTTCCAATTATCTAGTCATTCCGTAAGATTTCGACTCAAATCAATTGGGTCAAAGGCTAAATTGTATGGTCGAGTCTATTATTTAAAGCAATATATGACCTGTAATTTTGATGTCAGAATTTTTTTTGTTACAATTATATTGTAATTAAGTTTGATTTTTTTTATTCACGTTAACTGTTTTCGCGTTATGTCGACAATTTGTGTATAAAATATAAGTCTTACATCTATGAATTTATTGATCGGTAACCACAATTCATGAAACTTTTGTCTTAATTGCTAAAAAAAAAATTGATGTGCATCTCGCGAAAATAAAGTGTTGCAAAAATTAAGAAGAACGTTTATAAACTTGATGGTCATGAAATTTCAACTAACTACGTTTAAATCAAATTACAATTTTAGTGGTTTGTGATATTTTTCTACTTTACCAGTTCATACATGTATTTATATATACAAAACTTTGTTGCATAATGTATAAAAACTGGAGTGACTGCATGATATTTATAAAAAAAAATCGGTTCTTTATACTATATAGAGTTCAACATTCAATATACTACCTGTAGGCGCTTTTCACTTAATGACCTTTTACCTCCTAATTACTAGACCGTGAAGCTGTTGAATAACAAACATAATACAAACCCGACTTTCCACAAATAATCCTGTCACTCCTGGATCGATATAACAAAAAAGCACCATTTAAAGACCGTTTCTTCGTAAATTCGTTTGTGCAAAAAAATTTTATTCAGAGTTGGAAAATATCTATCAGAAAAGGTGGGAAAACACGGAAATACAGGTAAATATAAAATACATGTATGACCCGTCGGTGGGTCTCGTATAAATTATAACTGTAACGGGTACTACGCCCATTTAGATATAAATACAGTGTACCAGGTTTTAGAAACCTACAGCGTGGAAAATTCAGCTTTAGTACACGTAATAAGGGTTACACCACCTTTCATTTTACTACCTCCTTATTTTCTTTACAAAAGGTTTTTTGTGTTCGTTATGTCTTCTTTATACAAATTCTAATGTATAGTGTATAAATAAGTTTTCCTATATATATATATATATATATATATATATATATATATATATATATATATATATATATATATATATATATATATATATACATGTATTACTGGTATCACTCGGTATCTTATAGATATAAATTCGAGAACTTTTGAGGTAGTATGTACGTTGAAACCCGTAGAACAGAATAAGTTTCAAGATTTTAGTAATGTTAAAGGAATGAAGATTATTTAACCTATGTTATACTGTGTAACATACATCTAACTTTGGAAAGTTTACGTTTTATAAACTGCGAAGCGGTTTTATATTACACAAAAGCGTAAAATTTCCCAAGTTATGATATCGTATAAAATAAGTTTAAATAAGCTTCATTTCTTATAATTCTATTGTAGTGTAGACTTTTTTTTCTCCAAAACTGGCTTCAAAAAGGACATATTTTCAAAGTGACGTAAAGCGGAGTTATACATTTTTGACGAAACGCATTGTGACGTCGGCAATTTAATATGTTATACGATATACATGAAGACTCAAATTTTTATCCAATCACATGACGTGTTACAACTAAAATTGAATTATTCATAATTTAAATCAATACTAAGAAGAAAAGAAATAATTTAGTTGTTACGTGTATACCACATGACTTCATTTCGTTTGTACATGTTTTAACATTGCTCGGTCCTTTTCACAAAAATCTAACGACTGATACATTCCTCAACAATTATATATCTTAAATTCACTGTTGAATAAAAGACATAAAAAGATTTTATATTTCAAAAACCATAAGTTACTTACTTCATTGTAAAAATATTCAATAAGAAAAAATAAAAATATCTAACAAACATAAATTATATGCAGAGATATCAAAGTTTGATCTTTCTATTGGCGTAAATATCCACTGGAGAAGTACGTGTAATACATGTAGTTGTATACGAAAAAGTAACAATGGAGATCAAATCAACACCACAGGCGATTTTAAAAACGGCTGATAGAGACAAAAGGGTTACACTATCGATAGTGTATGTTACTATATTGGTTTACCAAAAATCGGGAAAAGGTGTGACGATCCCAGATTTAAAAAGAAAAAAAAATGATAAAAAGGGGGGGGGGGGTCAGTCCCCAAGTGTATGAGATCAACACACGTACATGAGATGATCCTTCCACAATCAATAAGAAGTACTGTTCATGTAATAGCATTTCAAATAAAACTCTCTCTCTCTTTGTTTTATAGTCAGATTTTTGCTACTAATATTCGTAGATTTCTTGATTTACATATAATAATAAGATATATCATAAGATATACTAATTATTTATACGACTGAAAGTTTGAAACTGAAGTTTTCTGAACTTGAAAATATGATAGAGTCATAGGCAGGAGAATGAGTCAGCTGAACTCTTATCGAATACAATCTAGGACAATGTTATGTTTGCAGAGCTGTTAGTTAATGGAACCTCTTTTTTGTTGGTTGTTTGGCATTAAAACACACATCGAAAAATTCTTGTGCAGGTGAACGTTTGGCAGACGACGCCTGGAAGATAACCCGACATCATATTTTGAAATTTCGAAAGGGTGATCGTTGTTTAATGTTATTGGCTAAGCTTTCTCACAGGACTTAAAACTTACAGCCTCTTAATTATATTGAAATGAAGATGAAGGACTTCAGACTTGCATTTTCTTAATTCGGTTGACTATATTAATTGTTATCATGGTTCTACTAATGAGTAGAACTGATTATATATAGTTGATTAATTAGAAGGTTTTCGGGGATTCTTGTTTAGAAGGTAAACATTTTAAACAGGTTCAGGGAACGAATAATGTGCAATCAATATTTCTTAATTGTGAATTTATTGACAATTCCATTTCCTTTTATATCGGTTTCGTAATGTTGATTACGAGTATTCAATTATAGCCTTTATAAAGCTGATGTGAATTAAACATTTTCTCTTTTTAGGTGAAGAACTGGGGCGCTTTAGACGAAAAAATGGCGAACTGCTTTATCAAGTGCTGTCGGGTATTAAAACACGTTCCTGTTCGCATAATATGTTTTTTGGTTATTATCCTCCACTTCAGTGTTGTTGATTACTATCTGGTGGAACATAAAGACAGTACATGGCTGGGCTTCCTCGCAGCTGACGTCATCACCCTGTGCCTGTTTATTGCGTCATTTGTTCTATCATATCAGCAACTCAAGGGTTCAAACACTGACACAAAGATAGAGAAAATTGGTGTTTGGGTGGGTGTTGCATCTTGGTTTCTATATTCAGTCATTGTAGCGACTAAGTCGGGCATCATTTTTATTGACTTCGCAGATGATCTAGATGAAAAGGATTTTTTTGGTCCGAACACACTGAAAACTGCGTTGGCCTTAGCCGGAGTTATTTTCCTTTTACATCTTTCTTCGCTACATGACGCTAAACCAGGGTCGGAGAGAAGAACATACATAGAAGAACTATCAGGAACTGTTATTTTCGACATTTTGGATTGTGTGGATAGTATGGAACCGCTGTTCATCAAAGAAGATCGCGAAGCATTCCCGCCAGGTCTCGTGGAAGCCATTGTGGCCGTAGCCTGTTTAAATTTTGTTTTACCAACCGTACCCCTTCTGACCCTGTCGCATACTAAATTCGGACACGCCAAGCTACCCCGGCGTTTGATCATGATACATAAGATTATCCTGGCTTACATTGTCAACCTCCCTCTTTTGGTCATGAGGATGATTTTATGGCATGGACTAGATCATGGCGTCTCCATTTTTTCCTTGAAGAATGTAATCGTGATCGCCATGATATCATATGATTTTTATGAACACCACGAGGCAGATATGGACAACTCGAAGGAAAAGCATAAGGAGCACCGAACGGAGAACGGAGACGAAAGTTTACCAGCGGATGCTTACGGATTGGAAGATCGTTACGACTACAAGTGAACCTTCCGAACTTGCAAACAAAAAGAGCAAGACAACTAGGTTCAAAGTTCAAGGCGTAAAACACGTACCTATGCAATGTGGAGATTTGAGGACCTATGTTGATATAAAGAAAGTGAATGAAAGCCCTTTTCGACAAAAAAACCCTCCCTTCTATCCCAAAAAAACGAAGCATTGAAGATGGTATTGTAAATAAGAATTGTTTTTCCATGGGAAAAAGTACAACGAAAAACGTGTTGAGGACCAAATAGTGATAAGTGAGTGTCATTAAATCGTAGGACAGAGAAGTAGAACTTTTACTTGACTAGAGTAAAAAATGTTTACGCACTGCAAGTATAGCATCAAGCATTCAAAAGAGTAAAGCTTTCTTCAAACAGATGTGTAAACAACGGTAATTTGTTCTGCTAATAAAAAATTAAGAAAACGATTTTTTTTAAATCTGATTGTTTTAGAGTTATACAGGAATTGATTCGAGAGAGAAGAATTCAAGAATAAAATTTAAAGAAGGTTGCCTTTTATATCGATTTTGATTTTTATGTCCAAGTATATTCGGGGGCTTATAATTTTCGCCCCGTTCGTCTGCCTGTTTGTCCTCAAAAACTTGAACCTTGCCCATAAGTTTTGATTGGTTGGAGCTATGGTTTCCATATCTCATGAATGCATTCCTTCTTTGAGTACCAACATATTTAACCTCTTTACCTTAAAGTATGACCCACTTCTGCAAGAAAAAAGATTAACATAGGCCATAACTTTTGAATACTAGTAGTTGGTACTAGGATTTTCATTCTCCACAAGAGTATTCATTGTGACAAGACTTACTCTATGATAGAAATATTATTTTTTTTTTTTTTTTACATTTTGATCATGATCTTCGAGTTCGAATACTTTTTAAATAACTTTAATCTCTTACGTTATAGCCTCCCTTTTGATACCAACAATTCTCACCTTCATCTTGCAGTTAAAAATGCATTTTAAAACTTAAACTTCACTGTCTTGATCCAGTGCCGGATTGGACAAAACAAGATGGCGGGTAAGATAAGCTATAAAATTACTCCTTCTCGTATATTTTATTAGACGATGCATCCATATCTTAAAAATTAAAGAGAAAAGAAGTTATTACATTAATTAATGACTATAATGAACATCATCCAATCCGGCACCAAAAATGCAGTCTAATCTGGCACAATTTTCATTAAAATAATCGATTCTTATCCAGCACTTGTCAACATTTTTAAATCGAAATATTTTTGTAATAAAATGGGTTATAACAAATAAATATAAAACAACGGGTCAGAATTACTCCAAAGTATCATTTGTTAGCCACACTCCAGCTGCTGGACGCATAAAACTGTCAAGATCGAAGAAAAAACAACTCCATGCCGCTTCAAACTCAATCGGAGAAATTCTGCAGTCTTCAGTCGTTAAATACTCGAGTTTAAGAGATAATAGGAAAAGTAGCAATTAAACAATCTAATTAGCATTTTACTAGGAATTCGACAGTATCTTCGAATCAAGCATATCTGACGGTTAACGGAGGATATTTACCGAAATCTCAAGTACCTACCTTTTTCGATTTGTTCCCGCCGCCATCTTGTTTTGTCCAATCCGGCACGGGATCACGACAGTGAGCTTGGTTCATAACTTTTGAACGGTTGGTGCTGGCTATAGGTCTTTTATATTTCCCTGAATACCATAAATCTTGAGTTTTTGACCTTGACCTTGGATTTTAACCCACTTTAATGTAGAAAAAAAAATTAAGCTTTGGTTATATAGGTAGCTTTTGAATGATTAGTGCTTGAACTTTCATATTCCACAGCTATATTCAAGGCAAATCCTTTCTTTGGCTATGATTATTATTTGTGATCTCTTGATCTTAATTTTTACTTGCATTTGAAAACTTTAATATTTGCCTCAAGTTGTCATTTGGGGGCGTTTGTATTTCTCAAAACCTGATGTTTTAGTACGGAATTTTTTTTTAGTTCCGAAGCCCTGGAGGGACATTGACTTACTTGTTATGACTTACTTGTTATAACTTTTTTTGTTTTGACTTATTTGTAAAATTGTGAATGTTTCGTGGCTAGTTATAAAAAAAGTGTAAGAAAGTTATTAAAAACATGTTGCTTGGCTTACTTTTATGATAAAAATTATATTTTGTCCTATTTTAACTGTAGTTTCTGATTAACGAATTGAAGTTTAACGTCCAGTACAGTTGTGATTTCTAAAGAAAATATTATTTTGCAACTTCCATTTTGCGCAATGACTGACAAACTGACAGTCACTACTATTTTATCTTGTCGTTAGTAATAAATAAGGATTTTTTTTATCTCTTTTTTCTGAAACTATACGTTGCCTTCATATTTCTCGCCACTCTTTGTAAACTAAACTTGTCAAAACTAATTCAAAATATCAAGAATTCAAAGTTAAGTCATAAGAACTAAGTCAAAACACATAAGATAAAAGTCAAAACACTTAAAGAATAAGTCAAGAAACATAAGAAATAAATCAATATCCCTAATGGGGAGTCCGTAATTAACAGATAAAAATTTAGTAATCACATCAATTTTGTAGGTTTAACTACAAAACTACAACTAATTGTTCTAAATAGCTTACCTACGCTCAGTTGGAACTAACAAAAAAAAATCTCAAAACAAGTAAAAAAAATGCATTTCTGATATTCCAATTCGCTTTTTAGCTCACCTGAGCTTTTCTGATCACATTTTGTCCGTCCATCTGTCCGTCTGTCTGTCCGTCTGTACACTTTTCACATTTTCGACTTCTTCTCAAGAACCACTGGGTCAATTTTGATCAAACTTGGTATAAAGCATTCTTGGGTAAAGGGGAATTTAAATTGTTAAAATAAAGGGCCATGTTCCCTCACAAGGGGGGGATAATCAAGAAAAGACAAAAATAGGATGGGGTCATTAAAAAATCTTCTTTTCAAGAACCACTGGGCCAGAAAAGCTTATGTGGAAGCATTCTAGGGTAGTGTACATTCTAAATTGTTCAAATCATGACCCCGAGGGGGAGGGGGGGGGGTACAATTGATAATCAAAGTTTTACATAGATATATATAGGAAAAATCTTTGAAAATCTTCTTCTCAAGAACCAATGGACCAGTAAAGCTGAAACTTATGCGGAAGCATCCCAGGCGATATAGTGTAGATCTAAATTGTTCAAATCATGACCCCCGGGGGAAGGGCGGGACCACAATTGGGAATAAAAGTTTTACATAGAATTATATAGGAAAAAATCTTTGAAAATCTTCTTCTCAAGAACCACTGGGCCAGAAAAACTGAAACTTATGTGCACGTGGAAGGATCATGGGGTAGTGTAGATTTCAAAATGTCTAAATTATGATCAGTGTAGGGTGGGGATCCATTTTGTATTACAATGGGGGATTCTGGTAAAGAACAGAATGGTCAAAGCTTTCCATGTGAGCGATGTGGCCCATGGACTCTTGTTTTGCAAAAATGTTGGAAATTTGACAATTTTCCCAATATAATATAATTAACTTTAATCTCTAACTTTGAAGAAATACTGTGGATAAAGAAAATGGGTGAACATAGCGCGCAGAAGGCCCAACAGCTTCAGATATATATAAAAACCATATTCAAATTGTGAATCTGCTATTTAGAGTAAAGTTCCCATAATTGATTTTTATGAAATCATGATAAACAAAAAGTTTTTAGGAAAAATTTTTCGTTAAAATTTATTCTTTTATATTAAAAAAATGTGGTAGCCACTAAGTTCGATTCTTGGCAATAAAAATCCTGAGTTGGATTCTCTATTGAGACTAGCACGATAACCACTACGCTTCAAGTATTTCTTGAAAAGATACGAAAGTTATGTCATAAAATTATATTTTAAAGGTATAGTGGGTTATTGCTCCATAATTTTGGAAACCAAAATATGTAAGTTTTTATGCAATCTTTGAGGATTAACTTTCACTAAAATGGAGAGAAGACCCATGCACTCATATCGAAAAATAGTGTTTATTATTTGTGTGAAAAAATGACTCATTTTGTCCTTTTTCGTGTGTGTATAATATTTCATAGGCAAATAACTGTGTGAGATTAGTGCAAGTTTTAGAGATTTTACATAAAGTTTACTTTATTGTTAGATGAAATATGGAGGAAAATTTTGGTAAAATTGAGATATAATTTTTCAACTTCATGTTTGTCGCATTCTTGGGCTAATCTCTAGTCATGTTCACCCATCTCCTTTAGATAACTTTGTGGATTAGAGATTAACTTTTATGAGTATTTTTGATTATTTAAGGGGGATGTACAAGCCATATTGGATCTAGTCTGGTGTAAACTAAGAAATACCAAGAATGCGCTTAAAACTCTACTAAACTAGCCCAAAGTTACTCAAAGTGCTAATGCACTAATTACCTACTGTTAGAGACCAAAATTAGTAAACAATTAAGTTTATTTTGTCTTAATTAGAAGAAAATTAATCATGTTAGAAATGCGCAGCCACAGCATTCATGAAATGAAAAATGCATTGAAAATGGAGTTAGTTTGATTCATTGATAATATGGCTACCACCATTTGTTTCGTTTTTTTCTTGTCATTATCCATAATTCTTGAAAATTTGATTTTCATATGGGTGTCTTCCTGAGGCCATGTGTTTATTTTGGTCCGCCTTTCCTCTGTCACACAGAGTTCGAATAACAATGATTTTAGAATAAATGCGACCATAATAACATCAAGACAAGAAATTACTAAGTAATAATCATTAGGTTACTGGTACAATGTATATTACTTACTACTTTTATTTGTTGCATCGCATCGTCTGATTAATGAAAAAAACGCGATTTTAACCTCACCCCAGCAAATCAGGAAAAACTGTTCTGTTTACAACTCGAAATTCCTCGTTAATATTATTCCACTGAGCACATGGTTGGCATGTGCATATATCTGCTGTGGATAAATCTGTTTATTACCATGATTATATTTAATCTTTATGGAACAAGTCTTGATAATTTGTTGGTTTCTTTAAAACTCAACAAAAAAGATAAAAATGTCCTAAACATATGTGTTTACGGTGGGTCTTTTTTCTGTGGCGATAGAAGTTATTTTCAAATGGGACACTGCAAGGAGGATGCTTAGCATTTAATTTGAAAATGTTAAACAATATGCAGTGCATGAAAAATAAATTGTAATTACATGTCTTACATTCGAAAAGTTGGTACATATGTCTATTTTGTTTAGAAGTTAGATAGAAAAAATAGGCAGTTATAGGATATCCTTCAGGCACCTCACATAAATAGCTAGAATGTTTGCAATGACCCACACATTGTATGGAGTAATGTTTGGA